GTAGTTTGGTGAGTTCCTTATAGATTCTGGATATTAACCCTTTATCTGATATGTCATTTGCAACTATCTTTTCCCATTCCGTTGGTTGCCTATTAACTTTCTGGGTTGTTTCCTTGGCTGTGCAGAAGCTTTTAATCTTGATGAGGTCCCAACAGTTTATTTTTGCTCTCGATTCCCTTGCTTTTGGGGATGTGCCATATGACTTTTTTTTAAGTATTTAAATAGCTGAAATAATTTTTAACATCCATATTTATGCCCATAGAAATGCTAGTACAAAATTATCAGATAACTCTTAAAATGTTGTTTCTCCTTATATTACTTACCACAAGTTTCTGACCATTTGTTTTCCAAACTAGGGGATGAGAAATAAGAAAGTCCTGTCTTTCCTGGAAACAAGTAGAAGTCAGAAAGAAAAATAATATTCTTGTCCATTGGCTAACAAGACTGTCAATAGGGTGGGCCATTGTGGGAAAAGATAGTTTCTTATCCTAAACCAGTAGAAGTATTTGTTGGCTTTCCCCAGATTTAATGCTCATTTTTTCCCCTTATGTCCTTATTAAGCAGAAAAAAATTACAAAAATAGAGTGCCAAATTTAATCATCTACCTTGTTTTGAAATCTTTTGGGGAACACAGAATAGACCTATCAATAATAATTTGGTGAAAATTTACTTATTACTTTCACTCAATCATCAAAATGTGTAGTAATTACTGGAAATGTGTTAATACTTATTTTCATGCCTTGTGTCTTTAGATTACAAAGATCTTAGATTGGAACAGTAGATTGGAACTGAATTCTCAGATAATAGTATATTCACGCAGTTCATTTAGTTTTCCAAATTATAAAGTTGTAAGGAACTACCAAGCTAAGGAACTACTTCATTCAGGCAGCATTATTTTTAAATTAGAATTTTTTTCCCAATATGCCAATAGACTTTTTTTTTTAAGTTCATTTATTTATTTTTAGAGACACAGAGACAGCACAAGTGGGGGAGAGGCAGAGAGAGAGACAGAGAGAGGGGGAGAGAGAGAGAATCCAAGCAGGTTCGCCACTGCCAAAGCAGAGCCCAACGTGTGGCTTGAACTCATGAACCATGAGATCATAATCTGAGCCGAAACCAGGAGTTGGGCACTTAACCGACTGAGCTACCGAGGTGCCACTAGATTTTTCTTTAATGGCAAAACAATCTTCCATTGTAATTATATGCATATTGAATTTATCACCGGGATCCTTCGGAGAGTTTTGTCACGTACAAGTGGCAGACGCCCTCTGGTGGAATTTTAGCTCCCCACTTGTTGCCTGTGTGATCTTAGAGTATTTAACCTAATTCTTGGTTTACCTGATATATATAAAAACATAATAACTGCCTTATAGAGTCACTGTGAGGAATAAATGAATTAACACAAGTAAGGGATTTAGAACAGTGCCTATATGTAGTAAATGCTCAATTTAGGATTGATTTTTTTTTTCGAAGCAGACATCTTTTACAAGCAAGTTAGAGGTTGATGTTATAGTTTCATTCAGCATAATGCTAATGATATCAAGATCATATATTCTATCCTCATAAATGATATTTTGTTTTATTCTATTCATATGTAGCCAAATGTGTAGCTACACAAATTAGTACAACACTTAAAGAGTTTCAACAGTGATTTCATTGTACACCATCTATTTTAATTTCTCTCATTTACAGATAGAAGAAATGGGGTCAGAATCAATAATTAACTTGCATGTAGTAAGTAGTTCAGGATATCCACTCAGGCTTTTAAAGTCCTAATCTAGCACTCTATTACATTGTAGCTAACTGTTAGAAAAGTAGCTAAAAATGAGTAAATCAAACAAATCCACTGATTACATTTGAGGCAACTTAAATCACTTAAATCCCACTTTTTTTGTGTGTAATGAAGCATTAATTGCTAAGATCAAATATCAAGAAATTACCAGATCATTAGGATAGAGTTGTAATGATTTACTTGATAAAAGTTACTAGTGGCACCAAAAAAATTCTACTTGTTCAATAAATACTTATCGAGTACCTTCTACTTGCCTGGCACTAGGCAAGGTGCTAGAGCTGTAATAGTATTTAAACCAAACATGATATAGTCCAGGTCTTCACAGGGTTTATAATCTGATGCAGAAAGAAAATTAAATAATTTGAATAAAGTAATCTAAGTAGCACAAGAGAGGAAGTACAGAACGCTATGTGAGACACCATAGGGTAACTGCTCCAGTCAGTTACTGTAAAACATAATAATTTACAATAATTAGGGTGATGGTGATTATTTTCTGCATAGCTAGAGCCTTTGTTTAATAAAGATATTCAGGAATACTATATGATTTTCTTCCACTTAGCCTACCTCTTAACCTCATCACAAATATAAAACTTACCAATAGAAAGCTTATCTTCTGAATTTCTACTCTGATCTTTTTTCTTCAGAATTGTTATTAGAAAATCATTAAAATATGTGGTATTAAGCCCTTACACTAATTTACTCATAACTACTTGACCATGATACTCAAGTTCCAATTAAAACCAGAGACATAAAAAATTTGAAACTCCATTGTTAACAGTACCTGTGGTAGACAAAAATACATGCAGATTGATTTCTAAAATTAAGTCTGGTAAAATCTTTGTTTTCAAAAGGATAATAAGGTAATATATTATGCTCTATGGAGAAGGGCACTTGTGGGGATGAGCAATGGGTGTTATACGGAAACCAATTTGACAATAAACTATTTGTAAAAAAAAAATACATATATATATATGCTCTCTCTCTATATATATATGCTCTAGGGGAGCCTAGGTGACTGAGTCAGTTAAGCGTCTGACTTCGGCTCAGGTCATGATCTCACGGTTCGTGGGTTCAAGCCCCACGTTGGGCTCTGTGCTGGCAGCTCAGAGCCTGGAGCCTGCTTCACATTCTGTGTCTCCCTTTCTTTCTGCCCCTCCCTGTTCATGCTGTCTCTCTCTCCCTCTCTTTCAGAAATAAATAAAAAACATTTAAAAAAATATTATGCTCTAAAGATTGGGCAGCCACAAGACCATGAAGGTGATCACACGGAGAGGGCAGTGGGATTGCAACACATAAGGTAACTACAAAGTGCTTCCTAATGGAGAGGAACTAGGATTCCAGACTCTTACATCGTGCTACTGACAATTTCAAGTATAAAGAGGCAAAAGAAATGCTTATCCTTCCTTTTTCAATATTCTGTAATAAATAATAAAAATCCATAAGATTGGGAAATAAACTTTTTAAATTATACAGAATAGAAAATCTTGCATTTCAGCTTTTAAAAACATATCATAAAATTGGATCTTTTTTTTTAAGGTTTAAGAAGTCACTTCTGAAAAAAAAAAAAGTGGGGGGTGGGGAGGAGTCACTTCTGGAATGGGATTTAAGCTGGGCAGAAATCCAGAGCATAAAATACAAAAATGCTCGTATGACAGAAGATATTATTTGATCTAAGCCACAGAAAGAGGTCAAAGATAGGCAGTCAGATTGAATTAAAAAATTGTCTTTTATTAGAAGAATCAAGACTGGGAATAAGTTTCCTAAACACAAAGAAACCTCAATGATGGAGGTTAAATAATTAAATGGTGTTAACTAAATGATTAAATGCTGTTAATAAGTATATTGATCCTGATGTGAAAGGTATCTCAGGAAATTACATAGACACAGAAAACAAAACTTGATCCAAATCAATCAGAAAATGTGATATAAAATTTATGGACTGTGTAACTTATTAAAGACAACTGACAATTTACTTATATTTATATTTAGCCTCCAAATATTCTTTGTGGAATTAGAAATTTAATATTTAGAAGTTAAAACTTTTAGTGAGTTAAACAACAAATTAAAATTTAGAGCAGATTTTTACAAACATCTCTAATTCACACTTTAAAATGGTCTTATTAAAATAATGTGTAAGCATTATATTTTAAATCTCTGTGTAGAGTGTGTAAACAGACATATAAACAAATCAGTTACCTAAAGACAAATACATTATGAAACTATCTTCAAACTTTCCCCTGGTTTTAGTAATTTCTTCAACAATAGAACTTACCTCTTTCTTGCTGTTATTCTACAAATGGAACGTCCCAGCTCGAACCATTTTTGAAAAAAAGGCATATATTATCAACAATTTAGTAAATTTTATTATTTAAAAAAACCAATCTTTTCCAACTAGTCCAAATTTGTCACAATACTGATACTCAGGTTAGATTAAACAAATGGAATCTGTGATTATAGTTCTGGAATTTAAAATTTTTTAAAAATTTTTTATTTATTTTGAGAGAGATGGAAAGCAAGCATGGGAGGGACAGAGAGAGAGGGAGACTGAATCCCAGGCAGGCTCTGTGCTGTCAAGTGCAGGGCCCAATGTGGGGCTTGAACTCAGGACCAAAACCATGAGATCATGACCTAAGCCAAAGTTTAGTGTTGGACGCTTAACCACCTGAGCCACCTAGGCATCCTTATAGTTCTGGAAATTTAAAAAACACTTATGTGAAATGCATGACTTTACTAAGATTCTCATTGTGAATAACCATATATGTCTAATAATTTATGTTTTATGTCTTCTTAGCAATCAATATGAAGTAAATTTTATTTAACAAGTCTGCTCAAATATAACACCTAAATTAAAAGACTGAAATTATTGAGTAAATTCAATAGAACTTCTGAAAACATTTTATTTATATTTCATTTCAAAGACTTATTTTCCAAATCTATAAGGCTATATGTCTCAAGTTCAAAATTTGTAATATTATTTGGAAAACTATTCTTAAAAAGGGATCAAAAAACATTTCAACACCTAGTGATGAAATGCACAATTTTAAAGGTTACATGAAACAGTTAAATACATATATATGATAACATTAAAAATTCTTTATTTAAAAACACTGTTATTAAAATAGGTAAATATGACACCATAAAATACTTTAAAGAAACAGACATGGATTATGATATATACAAAATAGGAAATAAATCATCATCTGTCATTAATGGGAAAATTTGCGTACTTTCAAAATATTCATAATTTTAAGTCAGACAAAACATCGTTTAGAGGGGATGCTTCTTTTATGGTTAAAGTCTCTTTAAAGACGTTTTAAATTCCGTTTACTCTGGGTACTTCCTGGAAGAGCATCTTTTCTATTTCTTGGCTTTGCTGCTCCTCTACTACATTCTTCAGACCCATGATAAGCACACAAACATAACACACAAAAGTCAAAACCACAGGCTGTGCGGCTACACAGTCCCCTTTTCTTATACGGCTGGTACTTAGCAGGGGATTGGCATCTTGGGCAAGGTTTTAATGCTTCATCAATAAAAAGTGTTTTGGCAACCTGCAGTGAAAGCATACACACTAAATCTTCCAGTTTCATGTAGAGAATCACTTTATTTCAATCTCTGAGTATTTATTTCTAATAATTTACGATAAATACTCACCTTAACATATTCTTCCTGTTTACTACTTAAGTGAGTAACAGAAGAGCTTGCTATAGGCGTCAAAACTTCTCCCCAAGGAGAAAATGTTGAAACTTGTTCTTTCTGAAAACCTGGTATCCTAGCCTGAGCTTGTACAGATCTTAAAGCTGATCGATTTAAAAGATGGAGCCGCGTGGCAGCATCCTCTACATTTAAGATAGCCTCCTGCGGTAAAAGATAAGAGAGGTCAATACTGTGATACCAAAAGTTCCAAAACAATTTTCTCATGCACATATATTTAAATGTTGAAAGTGGTTTCACACTAAATCCCACTAGAATTTTCTCCCTAAACTTTTCTTCTGAGAAAAATTTTTTTCTCTCATCTAACATTTAAATGTCAAAGAAATATAAATGAACAAAATTAAAACAATAAATGTTAGCTTTAGGTTTGCAAGATTGGTTATTTTTCTGTTCAAGGCATGGGTTGGCAAACCTTTCCTGAAAACGGCCAGATGGTATATATTTTACGTTTTGCAGGCCAGATAGTCACAGCTACTCAACTGCCATTTTAGCAAAAGCAGCTGTAGAGATATGTAAATGAAAGGGTAAGGCTATGTTCCAATGCAACAGACTTTAAAAGCAGAAGTGATGGGCAGGATCTGGCCCACAGACTGGAGTTTGCCAACCCTTGTTTTAAGCCAAAGTTTAGGAAGAGGTGAATCGTTCTAAAGTTTGCTATGGGATATCATGGAATTCTTTGAAGGTTTCTTACCTTAGCCACATGTCAGAAAAATAAGGGGCCTGATTAGATCATGAAATCCAACTGGTTTGGCTGGTTTTTACATGTAAATACTGGAGTCATTTTTACACTTAGATTTTAAACAAGAAGGAAAAAAGGTATCTCTTATCTGAACTGGATTTCCATATTACTTAAATATTCAGCTAAGAAATATTTTCAATAAGCCTTCTATTTTGTTAAGGTTGACAATGGAAAAAATAGTTTTTTTTTTTAACAAATTGGCATTCGTAACCAGTTATCAAAATAAAATGTGAAGCTCTTCATGTGTCTAACTAAAATTGTGTTTCTTCTCTCTTAATTGTCTCCCTTTGTCACAATTGGTTCCTAACAGCAAGGAGAGTGAAAATATAAGAAATTATAGTAGATAAGTATAGGAAATAAGATTAGCTGATCATGAAAAATTCCATGATTAAGTTTAACAACACATACATAAGTGTGAAGGATAAATACTCGTTTTCTGAAATTAGATTGAATACGACTGAACTTTTTCAAGGACTCGATGCATCTCTTTATAGTACATTTGTATAAATACTTTGCAGCCTATGCCACAAGCACACAACACCGGAGCACAACAGAATTTTGACAAATTTCAATGCAGTTGGTAAACACAATGATTGTGCATAAATTTTTAAAAAATGAATAGAGATATATTGTTGAAACACATTTCAGCCACAGATTAAACATTCCTTTATTTAACAAATATTTATAGAACTCCTAAGGGTACCAAGTGAATAAAACAGTGTAACCCCTCTCCTCCTCAATTAAAAATGTGTGCTGCCATCTCTGAACAAAAGGAGGCAAAGCAGTAAACAAAGGCACATATTCGTGAATGCCAAAATTTTTCAGATATAGTCACATCATGTTACCAGAAAATATTTAAATGTAAGAGTAAAGTCACCATGTGGTTGTTCATTTCCATGATTGTAAAAGAACGGTGAAGAATACAGTAAACTAAGAAATGCGATGGAAAAAGTGTCATATCCCAATTCTTATGCTCATTCTCATGGCTGCAAAGCAAAGAGATAAAATCGTGATCTTATTACACATAGCTGGTGTGTGCCTTCTAATTTTCACACATAAGGAGCTTTCAGAGATATTACACACATATGAGGAAAACCATTAAACAACTTTGTTTTACATTGTTTCTATTTGGGTTAGCAGCATACATTAAAATAGCTCAAGTGGAAAGCAACCAGTGCAAAGTGCACCAGAAAGAATGTTTCTAGGGAAAAGAAGGAACAGGAAGAATACCTGATTTGTTTGGACTTACACAGAGGAGATTTCCAGTTCTGGTGGATAATAGGAGATGAATCAGGGATCTGTATAGAGAAACACTAAGCAAAACAAAAGAAAGAAACTGGGCAATTATTAACTCAGGAAAAAAAATGTTATATAGGAAAAAAAAAAGGTGTAATCATAGTGTACTGCATGTTACAGCTGTCAATAACTCATAATAACCTCAATATATTCTTCATAATGTCAGCACCTAATTCTGATCTACTCCCACATGATGGTGTGGTTACACTGGTGAGACAGGAGAAAGGAATTCTGAGAGACGGGTGGGTGGGTAGGTAGTGGTAGTAGTGGTGAGAAGTTAGAGAACAAACACTCTCTCTAAAGAAAAAAAAAAGCCAAGAAATAGCAGGAAAGGTATGCTATTTAGAAACGTGGAGGTAAATCTCAGGAGGAACAACTAAAGAGATGAAGGTGAGTGACTTGCCGCAAGAATCAAGAGTGAGGAGGGATAGGCAGGAGAATGTGTTGTGTCATAAACCTCACAGTCCAATTGGACTTTTTACACCATGTACTTGTCTTACTTTGAAAAAAAAATTAAAAAGCAAATGAAAATAAGAAAAAAGTTAAAGTAACGGGGGAAAAAAGTATAGTCCTTTAGGAGACAAAGTTGGAAAAGAAAAATGGTGGCCAGGACATGAAGACAGGATATTTTATCTAGAATTACCTGAAGTGTTGCCAAACACAAGCAGGTTTCTTTCCCTGTCGGATATACAAGGTGAGTGGAGCTAACAGCTTAATATTGTTAGGTGTTTGCTTAAAATTTGTTTTTCTAAGTAGGTCTTCAGCATATAGAGCAGCATTCTAATGAGATAAAAAGTTAAGACGGCAATTAATACTTTCACTATTATAAGCTCCCAGGACCAGAAGCTGCAGCAGTAAGTGGCCAGGAGCTGTGAGAAAGTTGTAACACAAGATCACAGGTGAGAAATTAAAACTTTTCTTCAAAGTCGAATAGAAAGCCAATGTTTAAGTTAACTCAGTCCTTAATATTTCATTGCAATGAGAAATTCACCAATCTGTGTGTAGGTGTTTATATCTGTTTACACCATGCTTCATCTCAATTACTATATTTGGCCAAATTAGAAGTTTGTTATGTTATATAACAAAATGTTATTAAATAATTTTTACTAGAACAAGAATAAAAGCGTGAACTCGCAGAGTTTCTTTTGGTTTTGATGGCTAGGAAATGTTTAAAAGTTGCATATATAATACATACGGGTGCCTATTACATAAAGTAGTGTCCATAGGAAAAATTAGTCAGCTTCTGCAGGACTTTTCCTGTGCCTTCAAAGCCGGTCCTCAAATCTTCAAGGAAATACAGGCTTACGATGCTTTACCAGTCCTAATCTGCCCTGCTCACTCACCTCCAGGCCTTCCTGGACGCTAAACTCTCTGCTGCAATGCTCTTCCATGTCTTCACCTGGCTACCCACTCCTTCGTCCTTCAGGTCTCAGCTGAGTTGCACATTTCCTGAAAAGCCTTCTGTTGATTCTCAAGCATCAAGTACTCCTTTTAAATGTTCCAATAGAGGGGCTCCTGGGTGGCTCAGTCAGTTGGGGGTCCGACTTCAGTTCACGTCATGGTCTCATGGTGCAAGGGTTTGAGCCCCACATTGGGCTCTGTGCTGACAGCTCAGAGCCTGGAGACAGCTTCAGATTCTGTGTCTCCCACTCTCTTCCCCTCCCCTGCTCATGCTTTTTCTCTCAAAAATAAATAAACGTTAGATAAATAAATAAATAAATGTTCCAATAGAACTAACTCTGGCCTTCCCCTAACACACCCGTATTATAATCGCCTGTTTCCTTGTAACACCCACAGGGCATGAGCTCCCAGAGAGCAGGGACCATTTCAGAAAGGTTCACAACTGTAATCTGAGCAATTGGCACGTAATAGCCACTTGAAAGGCTGGATAGAAAATGCTATAAGGGTATCTAATTATGAATAGGACCCACATTCCACCGGTATTCAAACACTGCACACACACCCAAACAACATAACCCCACGCGATGCTCTTCATGTTAGGTTATGGACTGGAAGAAAATGAAGCTGGGGAAAAGTAAAACATTCATGAGTGAATGTTTGGTAAATGGATAAGGTTAAAGGATAGCAGGAAAACCAACTTAGGTTGTCCAGCGACATGAGATTATTATTTTTACAAATCCATTTGAGAAAAGTATTACATACATTACCTCAGAATCTGTTTTCAGTTGGGAGATATAAAATTTCCTCCTCCGATTTGCATTCTTATCTTGAACAATAATTTCACGCCAACTTCTGCTTACTTTCCAAACACTATAACGAAAAGGTCAGTCTTTATTTATATTGTATATATTCCACAAAATTAACTTTTTTTGCCAATGGCAATTAATAAGAAAAACGTAAAGCTTTTGGACAATAAATTTAGACCTAACAATTTACATTAAAAATATGACTTAATCTACATTGTTGTTTCATATTATTTCCCCATATGAAAGAATTCCTATTAAAATATTAAATATATGCTAGCATTATATCTATAAGTTATCTTACAAATAGTTAAGGGGAAAACATAATTTCATATAAAACCAATACGAGCCCACTGGGAGACTGAGGATTTAACTTCAAATGTGACACAAAAATTAAAAAATTAGAACACAACACACAGAAAATGATTATCATCTATACAGTGCAAGAGGTTTTTATGTTTCTCCTATTAACGTACTTAGCAATTCTATCATGTTGATTAAACAAATATAAGAACCTTCAATAATTCATTAGAAGTACTAGGTGCCAAATAACAATTATTATGATGGGTAGCACTACAAAGCTCCTATTTTATAAACCAAAGTTTATGAGAATGAAGCAGCTAAAGAAAAAAACCCCACAATTTACATCCAGTGTTTGACTATTTATCAATAACTTTGGCTATACTAATTATTAAAGAACAATAATCTTTCAAGTTTTACTCTGCTCTTTTTTACTATTCTAACTTAGAGAGCTCAAAGGGAGTAAGACCATACAGTTAAAAAAAAAAACAAAAGTCCCTTGTTATGCAGGTAATACTTGAGTTGTTAAGCTGCTATTCTTCCCAGCTGCCACAGCCACTTGGCCACTTCCGCTGCCTTCCTCTCCCTCCCCAAGCCAATACATGGGTCTTATATCCCATTGATGGAGAGGATAAAGCAGAAAGATACCTATTCATGGGGAAGAAATAAACTATATAATTGGGCATTTGCCACAGTTATTTCAACTGACCATAATCTCTCACATTAACAGGAATACACACTGCTAAGATTATACATGCATACTATGGTACAAATCTGAAGGGCTGGGGATAAGATGTAATTATTAAAATGAGACTGAATATCAACTGCTCTCACAAATTAGCACCCACAAGTATCATTCAATTTTTAACTGGTCTATATCCAAATATTGTAGCATATAAAAATAAAATTCCTGTATTTCAGCCATCCCTTTGATTTTTTTTAAACAATGTATCCCATTTGAAAATTATTTTAAAGGCACCTACATACAGGTGCACTAATCTGTTTATTATCCTACTTGGGTTACACCAAGTACCTTCCTGGTCAAGTCTATTTAGAAAGGCATTAAGCCTTAATACGAGTTTGTGGGACACTATTGAATTAGAAATCAGAGGGCTCAGTTTTAGACCTAGATATATTCCTCTGTCCTTAAATGACTGCTGGCAGGTCACTTAACTTCTCTGGAACTCAGTTTCCTCATCTGCAAAATATGTGATTAGACTAGATGTTTAAGGACTAGACTTCCATCTATGAAATTCTACATTTTTCGACAATAGCCTACAATTAACTTGGGGAAGAAAGGTGAAGAAGGGTTCAAATAGAAGTAGTGGCCATAAAAACAGCAAGGATTCTACAAACTAAACTTTTGACCTGTCCCCATGGACAAACACATTTACAGACTCTCCAGCACGCTCTCCCCCAACTGCCATGCGCAGAAGTCCTGTGCCACAAGGCTTCCCTCCTTCCAGCCATGGCATTCCCAAGGGTCTTGTCTTCTGATAGTCCTGCAACTCCCCAAAATTTCCAATATGGACACAGCCTCACTTTGGTCATTGTAACCCTAGTTCCCACCCTTAATACTCCTAGATGTGTTTCTCTTTAATTATGTAGCAGCATTTAATATAATGAAATTTCTGTTAGCACAAATTCTTGGTTCTAATTCCTTGAAGTTTTCAAAAGTAATTACCTTCCATGGTACTGTTAGCAATGAAAGTGAACTAATCCATATTCCCTTGGTCTCTGGAAAAACTAAGCCCTAAAATGAAAGCTAACCTTCATTTTGGATTCTAGAACTTAGACTAAGTAACTGAATGGTATCCTTTGTATGTTGCCCTTTCTTAATCACCATGACATTTTACAATACTTCTGACCAAGTGTCATGACTTTAATACAATTTGCAATCTGACAACAGGATGTGGACTACTAAATCATCAAATAACTTTCATGGAATAAAGCTTGCCAGTCTTGAAAATGTAAAGTACAACTTTTAGAAACTGTCTTCCCAAATGACAGTGCCATGAACTCTATGAACTTTATCCAGAAGACTATATTGATGCATCTAAAACAGGATTTTAAACAGAAGAAACCTATATTACTAAACTGTAGTAATGTAGTAGCTTTAGGGAAGTTCACTAAACCACCTTTGATAAAGTGTAAGACAACCAAAGAGAGAGATAATAAAACAAAACAAAAAACAGGACAACTGCTCAACCCCTAGAAAAGCTTTCCAATTAAAAAAAAAAAAAAGATAAGAAGAAGGAAGTTTTATTTCAGAAAAAAAATTACTTCTTACCTGAATAGGCTTTCTGCAGTCAAGGAATCTAAAACCATAGCAAGAATATGCTTTAAATTTCTGTATTTTAATTCTGTTAAGATGTCCAGTTTTTCTATACCCATTTTCTTGCCAATCAGTCCTGTAAGTACATACTGTAGTACAGCTATTTGCCCCCCATCCCTTTCTTCTAAGAATTCATGTGCACCATTCTGCTGGAATCTTTTTCTTTTGTTTCTCATGAAGAGCTCATGCACTAACTGCAAGGCGGGGGTCTTTGATAAATCCTTAAAGCTTAAAACCTTAGTGTCACTGCTCAGCTGACTCTCTGAGGTGTCTGAAGCAGCCGCTGGTGTTGCTTTAGAGTCAGACTGGTCAGTCTGCTTTTCCCCTTCTGTCTCAGATTGAGAGCCTTGCTCCTCAAGGGTGGACAATCTTCTCAGCCTTCTAAGATGCCTTGACTTTTTTATGGTGCTCCCCACTCTGACAGTTTCCTTATGTTTCTGATGTTCTTGAAAAGATCCCTCCTGGTCAGAGAGGGAATCTTCTGATTTTTCCAAGCAAAGTGAGTTAAAACCACTGTCTTCAGGTGTTGAAATATTGCCCCTCACTTTAGTTGAAGGAGAGAGCCTTTGGCTTGCATTAAATTTAATGTTTGCTACAAGATTACTTATCGGAGTCACCCAAATGTCCTCATCTGTCCCACACGTTGTTCCACTAACAGAGGAACCCAGAGGTCTGGGATATGTATTCTCGTCATTAACAAACAGACTGCTATCGCTAAGGTCATATGTGATAGAGTCTTTAAAACTATTGCCCTGAATTGGAGATATACATTCAACTTCAAACAGGCTACAGTCATCTTTGGAATCATCAACCGTGGAAGTCTTCTGCTGAGAAAAATTAAGTCTCAATTTTTGACTGCTAGAAGTTGCTTCTTCTGTTTTCAAAGTACTAGTAACCAAAGGACTAAAACTGTTTTGCCATGGAAGACCTGAAACACAGCTTGGAATATTTTTTTCTAAGTTGAGAACTTGGTTCCTACTACTTTCTAAAGAACTATCTTGTGGTTCAAAGTCCTCCGTTAGAAAAGAGAAAGATATGTCCAGCCTTCTGCGCAGTAAAGATTTTTTCCCACTGACTTTAGGAGTTTCGCAAAGTTCGGGGCTTTTCTCCTTTTCCTTCCTAGAAAAGACACCTCTCCTTTTTTGAGTTGGAGATTCTAAAAGATGAGTCAAGCCCAGATTTGAAGTTTCAGGACGTTCATGGATTAATGGTGGGCCTTTGCCTTTCTTTCCAGACAATTCTTTATCCGTATTCTCAATGTTACAAGGTTGTAACAACTCATTGTAGCCACTATCTTGAAATGAAGATGTGGAACAAAAATCTCTGAAGCAGGAATACTTGAAATTGACAGGAGAGCCCACCTCATTTTCTGCGCCAGTACAAGTCTGACCTAAATGTCTCTCTGACATCTTCAAAAGCTCTGTTTCTACAAAGGAAAACAAGTGTTATTCTTCCTTTGAAATGAGTGGTCTGGCAGCTCACACCAAAATACATTTGTTAGGACTATAGATAATCATAGAAAATGTTATGGCAATAAAAAAAGTTACTTTAAAAAACAAATCTTTAAAAAACAAATCTAATATATACTCACATATATCTTTTTTTTAATGTTTTATTTATTTCTGAGAGAGAGAGAACGTGAGCAGGGGAGGGTCAGAGAGAGAGGGAGACACAGAATCTGAAATAGGCTCTAGACTCTGAGCTAGCTGTCAGCACAGAGCCCAACACAGGGGTCAAATCCACAAACTGTGAGATCATGACCTGAGCCGAAGTCGGATGCTTAATCAAATGAGCCACCCGGGCGCCCAGTATACTCATGTGTATCTTACTTAAACCAAGTTTTAACATTCTGAAAACCAAAACTTTCAGGTTATAGATATTCACAGATTGTTTGATAAGCTTAGTATAGGCACCGTGCACAAATGTTTTCTTGAACTACACTTGAGAAAAAAATCTGGAAAGCATCATTTTTAGATTACCTTATGATTTTAATAGCATTAATGTACATAATTATAGTTTTAATTATAGTTTTAATATCAATAATGTTATTGATTCTTGTAACATGGGCCTTTCGCAGAAATCCAGCCCCCATGACCACTCTCAACATCTGAATTTCCCAACTTATCACTTTGCAAGACTCCTTGGCTTATTGATAAAATACCAATCCATTCTTCTTGAGCTAACTAAAATGAATCAGCACCACACAGACAAAGAGCCATTACAAACCTGGCATGTTATGCTTATTCAGGTCTCATTTTCTAAATGTTTTGAGACATAGCATCCGCTCGCAGGCCTGATTCCACAGAGAACAAACAACTATTTGTGGGAAACCCACCCTTTATAATATTCTTGAAATTTCAAGTACAGAATTCAAGTAAATTACTTCAGAATTACTTAATAAGTTACTCAGTAATTATATTTGTAAGAAATGACACCAGGAAATACTTTGCTCCTTAACCTTTTTAAACAGTATTATCACATTCCTTCTTTTTAGAAACTCAAATCTTTTTTTTAATTTTTTTTAAATGTTTTATTTATTTCTGAGAGAGAGAGAAAGACAACACGAGCAGCGGAGGGTCAGAGAGAGAGGGAGACACAGAATCTGAAACAGGCTCCAGGCTCTGGGCTGGCTGTCAGCACAGAGCCCGACTCGGGGCTCGAAACCATGAACCACGAAATCATGACCTGAGCCGAAGTTGGACCCTTAACCGACTGAACCACCCAGATGCCCCTAGAAACTCAAATCTTAACTCAGAGGGCACTAAGGAAAGAAAATCATCACAGTTTCTGGTACTTTTCTAGATTATTCAAAGGACTCAGAAAACTGTCATTCTTTCAAAGTTTTCTCCAGGCCAAATGCATGGTTTTTCTCTATTAAAAGATTGTAGGAAGAAAAGTTTTAGTTGACTATAACGGTAAAGGGATATATTTATGCCTAGGTTACACCAGTTAAGTATATAAGTGAAAGAGTTTTTAAAAACAACAAATCAGGGGCGCCTGGGTGGCTTAGTCGGTTAAGCGTCAGACTTTCGCTTAGGTCATGATCTCGCAGTTCGTGGGTTCGAGCCCCGCGTCGGGCTCTGTGCTGACTGCCAGCTCAGAGCCTGGAGCCTGTTTCAGTCTGTGACTCCCTCTCTCTCTGACCCTCCCCTGTTCACGCTGTCTTTCTCTCTCTCCTAGAAATAAATAAAAATTAAAAACAACAACAACAACAACAACAAATCACTCCTCCAACCACAAAACAGTTTCTTTATGGAAGATTAATACTTCTGGGCACAGTATCTAAGTGTCTTTCAACCTTTTAAATCTATATTCAACTTTGGTAAATCTGATTCCTGTTCTCTTCCCATCTAGATCCCCTCAGATCGTGAGAATGACTGCTATCTTCTGTACGTACTTACCAGCCAAGACCATCAAACTTTGCTTTCTATAATTTGTATTATATTTTCAAACAATTTTTAATCAAAATGTTAATAACATATAATGAACTCCAAATTACACCTCCACCCACAAATATTTCCCCCTGAGAATCATTCTATTAAGTAAGCTAAAATTAGGTCATGAGATCCTTCTAGGAAGAGCAAATGTAACTATTCTATATCACCACTAGATGTCTCACATTGCTAGAATTTGGGAAACCAAGGCAAATTGTTAGAAACAAAATAGGGCTGCAGATATCCTCTCCCCCTATCGATCATAGGCCACTTGATATAAACATATATTTAAAAAATTCTAATTTCTTCTGTTCATCTACACATTCGAAGTTGCCTCCAATTGGCTTTTCTCTACTATCATCATGCTCATCTTTCCACTATCTCAAGATGTTGGTCTGAAACAAAACTTGGTTGTTCAAAACTGAATTTTTAAATCTTTTAAAAAGACTCATGGAGAATTATGAAATTCCCATTGACTTATTTAATTTTAATAATTTAATTTTATAATTTTAATTCAACAGTTCACTGATTAATCAAACGAACCTCCTTAATACTTATTTGTTTTTTCATTTTTAAAGTTTATTTATTTTGAGAGAGAGAGTGAGTGAGTGAGCAGGGGAGGGGCAGAGAGAGAGGGAGAGAATCCCAAGCAGATTCTGTGCTATCAGCACAGAGCCCAATGTGGGGCTCAATCTCACAATCCATGAGATAATGAAATCACGACCTGAGCCGAAATCAAGAGTCAGATGCTTAACCGACTGAGCCACAGAGGAACCCCTCCTTGACACTCATTTTTTAAAACCAGGCTCCTGAATGTTGAGAACTTTTATCTCTACAGTGTTCTCAGAAAAGAAAAAAATTGGCAATGATGGAGAGAAAAGGAACTTTCATGCACTGTCGGTGGGAATGCAAACTGGTTCAGCCACTATGGAAAAAATTAAAAATAGAACTATGATATGATCTAGTAATTCCACTTACGGGTATTTATCCAAAGAAAATGAAAACACTAATTTGAAAAGATATATGCACCCCTATGTTCACTGCAGCATCATTTACAGTAGACAAGCTATGGAAGTAACCTAAGTGTCCATCAATAGATGAAATGTGGTAGATATATGTAATAAAATATTACTCTGCCATAAAAAAAATCTTGCCACGTGTGACAACATGAATGGACTCATAGGGTATTATGCTAAGTGAAGTTAAGTCAGACAAAAACAAATACCATATGATTTCACTTGTATGTGGAATCTAAGACACAAAACAAATTAACAAACCAAACAGAAACAGACTCATAGAGAACAAACGTGTGGTTGCCAGAGGCAATGAGGGTAAGGGGTGGTCGAAATACGTGAAGGGGATTAAGCGGTACAAACTAGTTATAAAATAAGTCATGGGAATGTAATATACACCATAAGGAATACAGTGAATAATACTGTAGTAACTTTGTATAGTGATAGATAATAACTAGACCTATGAAGGTGATCATTTTGTAATATACAGAAATATAGAATCGCTGTTGTTCACCTGAAACTAATATTGTATGTCAATTATAATTCAATTTTTTAAAACACTTGTTAGAGAATGATCTACTTATTATTTAACTGTATAAAACACAATTCTTCATTTGTTAAATTGGAAAATCTTACCATCAGTAAATCTTGAGCTCTTAGAGGTCAGTTACGAGGGCTTCCAAACAAGAAAATCTTTCTCTCTGCCTTTAAAATTCATGCCAAAGTAATACCACTTAAAGAGAAAACTTTAGTTTGAACAGTCGAAACGTACAGCAGCACATGACTGCTAAAATCGGAAAGGAACATAAAGTACATGCAGCAGGGATTATTTCTAACATATGAAAAGGCCTACATCACTTAGAATTTCCTTCTTTCCAGATAATAGCAATTTCAATATCCTTGTTTTCTCCAGCTAGTTTCGGGACTGAGGAATCTTCCCAAATTCGGGTTTCTGAAAATGCAGTGCAAGCCGCAGCGCTGTTACTTCCCTAAGGTGCTATCGGCGGCTGGGTGGTTGACGGTCTCACCGCGGCGTCTTTTGGCCCCGCTCGTCCCTCCCGGTCCTTCCCAAGGCCAGGCCGGCGTCGGCCGGGGGGCGCCTCGGCTCCGCCGCCACGGCGCAGGGCCCAGACGCCGCCGAGAGGCCGAGGGTGGGTGGGCGCCCCCTTGAGGGAGCGAGCGGGCGCCTCTCTAGTCCCAGCCCCTACAAAGCTAAGTGGGCGCAGGGCCGGCGGACCCCCAGAGGCCCGCTAGCCGGCACACACCTGGGCCCCCCAGACCCGCCCACCCGGAGACCGAGGCGCGCCCGCACCGTCCGGGCCGCGGGGCCAGGCGGGAGGGGAGACGGGCAGCCGCCGCTGGGCGCGTCAGGCAGGAGCCGCCGCCTCGCCCCCAGGGATGCCCGGCTATGGCAACCTCCACGCCACGTCCGCTTGGGGCCGCCGCGACTCCCTCCTTCGGTTTGAACCGCCCGCCCCGAGTAACCGCTACGCGCCGCCGCCCCGCGCCGCCCCGCCCTCCAGCTCCGCGGCGCCCCCGCCGGCCGCCCGGCGATCCGCAGGCCCGCGGCCCCGAGCCTCCCGCAAAGGGTCTCGTCCTCCCTTTTCCCACCCTTCCACCCCCACCCGAAGCGCAGCGGGGCCTTCTAACTTCATGGGCTCTGTCTCTCCCCACTCGCACTTTGGGAAGCGTTAAGTGTCACGGCTACTAAGCGGTCCTGCAGTGGGATGACCATGAAAATCATGCAGGTGAATATTCGCTTGAAAATGTTTCCGAGATAATCAGGTATGAAAAGCAGATTACAGGGGCGCCTGGGTGGCTTAGTCGGTTAAGCGTCCGACTTTCGCTTAGGTCATGATCTCGCGGTTCGTGGGTTCGGGCCCCGCGTCGGGCTCTGTGCTGACAGCCAGCTCAGAGCCTGGAGCCTGTTTCAGTCTGTGACTCCCTCTCTCTCTGACCCTCCCCTGCTCACGCTGTCTCTCTCTCTCTCTCCTAGAAATAAATAAAAATATTAAAAAAAAAAAAAAGCAGATTACAAACCGAATGACGCCTTTTAGAAACGTAGATATACACAGGATATAGATGTACAGAGGATAAAGTCAGAAAGGTATGACTTTCATTATTTCTACACGGGATTATGCTTCATTGTGCTAGATGGGATGTTTGATATTGCTCATTGGGCACCTATTCTATGCCAGGCTCCATCGTTCTCCTCTTGGCAGCTTTCTACTAGTCTCCTTTTCCTGTTTTTTTCCCGTCTGCCTTTTCTCTACATGAGGCATCCGACCTCAGCATTTTTTTGTTTTTTGCTTTACCATTATGTGCTTACATAATTCTCATGCAGAGCTTCACCCATTACTTTTAAGCCAGTAAGAGCAGCTACCACCACCCGCCTCCAACTGGACATTTCTCTATCTGGATGCACGTTAGTCATCCAAAATGGAACATATCCAAAATCAAACTCACTAATACTCATTAAGCTCTGCGCTATGTGCCAATCACTGGGCTAGGTACTGGGAAAACAAAGATGAGTACAGCACAGTTACTGGCCTTATGGGGTTCACAAGTGCTGTAACAGAGGAACAGTAGTAGTGCTAAGGAAAGGGGACCAACTAGCCCTAAGGAAGAAGAGGAGGTGGAACTGACTTTATACAGACCGTGACTTTCGGGTGGATTTTGAAGGACAAGTGGCAATTTAAAAGTCAGACAGCAGGTGATTCCAATCTCAAAACACAGTGTACAAGAGCAGGGAAATTGAAACAGTTGGGCAAACTGTAAATTATTATAGCTAGAAACTAAGACTTATTTGAGGAAAGACGAAAGAAATTTCTTGAGAAGGGGAAGAAGCCAAATTGTGGAGAATTTTGGATCGATTTAAGAGTCTGAAGTTTATCCTCGAGGCCACGCAGAGCATTTTAGAAAGATCACTCCCTTGGCAGGATGGAGAACAGAAGGAAAAGAGGTGAGGGCGGTTGCAAGGAGACCACTTGGGAAGCTACTGAATTACTCTGGAAGCCAGTGCAGCTGGAGAAGAACCTGGACTCACATATCCAGTTAGCAGAATCAGCTGCCTGGGGCAGGGGTGAGGGGGGAGGGGAGGTGGGGGCGCAGAGAACAGGTTTGGAAGAAAATAAGATGAATTTAGTATGAGGTTGGGGCACCTGGGTGGCTCAGTTGGTTAAGCATCTGACTTCAGCTCAGGTCCTGATCTCACAGTTCATGGGTCTGAGGCCCGTGTTGGGCTCTGTGCTGACATCTCAGAGCCTTGAGTGTGCTTTGAAATCTCTCTCTCTCTCTCTCTCTCTCTCAAAAATAAGCATTAAAATAATTCTAGTATGAGATTAAGTTTGAAATACCTGTAGGACTTAAGATAAGGAACTGGTGAATTACATATGCTTCAGGATAGCACTTCTCTGAAGCCTCCTCCACACAACCAGGGAGAGTGACTAGTGTTCTCTCTAGCTCTTCAAACAAATCTGACAGCCATTTTGCCTTTCCCCAACAACATTTGCAATCTCCCTTCTCTGCTGAATTTTCTCCATGTAGTTTATCACCTTCTAAAATACCATAGTATTTACTTATCTTGTTTAATGTCTGCCCCCAACTCCCACTATAATGTAAACAGGGCAGGGAATTCTGCCTATGGTTTTAACATTTTCACACAGTCCCAAACACCATTTGAATGTTGCCCTATTCTCTTTCCCTAGTTTTTTTTTTTTTTTGAGATATTTTATTATGACTGAAGAACAGAAAAGCATATCATAACTCCCTTTTATCATTCAAAGAATAATTTTTACCCCCCACCATGACCACCAAAAGGGCTAAAAGGAACCTAGTTACATGTAGCATGTCCTGACTTGACTCATATACCCCAAATATAAGTCACTGAGCTGTATTTTCCTATTCTTTACCCACCACAGTCTTTGGCCTTTTTGTTTCCCTTTCTGGATTGGACGTCATCCCATTACTGACCTCAGTATTCTAAACCCATCCGTCTCCCACAAGATCTGATTGTTCTTTGGGACCATCCAGCAAAACATAATGAAAGACTTTCCCAATCACCATGACATTCAGGCTATGCAGGTATCCTTAAAAGAATAAGATCAAAGGAAATGAAAAAGATTCAGCCATTTGCATCTCCATAACCATATTATACGGAGTTAAAAGCACTCGTATCCAAGATAAAAAGACATCCACCCTCATTAGGAGAAGGCAGTGCAGTGATATCTGGCACATAGTAAGTGCTCAAGAAAAGTTAGCTGTTACCAATGATAATAGCTTCCACTGACCATGCTCCATAGTGATCCTAAAACTATTGGTTCCTGCTAATTGGAAAGAGAGTGTTGGACTGAGAACTAGCATCTACATGGACTCTTATTGAAATTCTGGATCTCCTTGAAACCACTTGTAATTGATCTACCTTTCCATAAGGTCCCAAGACCCATTTGTGTTCTACATGTGTTGATCCATTCTGCTCTCCATAGACTGTGCTATGTGCACAGAATCATCTTGATACCTCATCTGGAAAGTCAGAATCCAGGAAAGTTTGCAATGATTTCTTACACTTTCTGGATCACTCCATTATCTTTCTCTTATAACAATAGTTCTATTTAATAATTCTTGTAGTAAAGCCTATTTTGACTGTTGTATTGCATAACCTTCTTCTCTTTGGTTGAGAGGAGAGATATTTTGTAAGAGACCTAATGGTCAAAGTATTTATGCTGTAGGTCAGCCTGTCTGTGAAAAGAGAAGCAGGAAAATCCATTGTTTTCCTGGGAATTAAAAAAATGGCAGCCAGAAAGACTGGGAATATGAAATTAAATCTCCCAAGCTGGTCTGTAGATGTGCAACCAGTTGGAATTCCTTCTCAAAGTGAAAGGTGAAGCTCAAAATTCTCAAGTTGCTGGAGAAAAGAGTGGAAAGCAGTATATTCTACTTAATAACACATCAAGGACCAAAAAAAAAGAAAGAAAGAAAGAAAGAAAGAAAAGAAAAGAAAAGAAAAGAAAAGAAAGAAAAGAAAAAAAGAAAAGAAAAGGAAGAAAGAATCAAAGACATAGTGCATGTTGGGGAGAAAGAAACCTGTTTCTCCGCTGACCTATAATCGTTATTAACAACAGATTATTTTCTAGATCTTAGTTACTTCACTTTCTTCTTCCTCCTTCTGATATAAAAAGCCTGCTGTGAAAGAAGCAAACGAATGTAAATGTTGTGAATCAAATTGATATTAATCTCACCGATATTTTGATCTCTCAAAATATCACTAAGCAGATTGTTTTGTTTCGTCTAGGGAGGAATACGTGCGATGGAAGGAAGGTCTGTAAATAGTTAATGCTACCAACATCCCTTAGTTTTAGGTAGAATTAATGTAGCTGCCCTCATACCCACTTTTGCTTTAAAACCAGTAAAAGGAGTGGGTAGTGACAGAAGCCTACGAAAGTTTCAAAAAGCAAAATCGAAATTACGCGAAAAATAGGCGGCAGCTGCTCGACCGGCCCAGCAGAGGTATCAATTGGAAAAACGTAATTTGAAAAGTGCTTTTCTACGTGAAAATCAGTGATGGAGTCGCTGCCCAAAGGTAACGGTTAACCTAGGATTCCAGGGGGGCACTTGGAGGGGTTTTCTCTGTTAACCCTCAGCCCTCCTGGAAAAGTGTTACTTAGTCAGAAAAACAGACTTCCACGAAAGAAACCGGAGCGAAACAACACTACAAAGACTAACACACAAAAGTTCAAGCTCAGCCGCCAGTGTGCAATCCGGGTTCCTGGCCACGCCTGCGGCGGAAGGGGCGGAGACACGCATCATATGCCAGCGCCGGAAGTTGGCTGAGACACAGCGACGAGCCCTGATCTGTTTCAAGCGCGAAGTGCGTAGCTTCACCGCGCTTTACGTGGGTCGGAAATTGGCTGGTTGGGATTTGGAGGTGGGTATTTGGACCGAAACTAGAAAGTCACGCAAGATTAAGAAGGTCTGGTGAGAAGCTGGAGATTGAGTGGATGTTGTTAGTACTTGGTTTCGTTTAGTTTGGCTTTTGGGAGTTAGTCTTAAATTCTGTTCGCATGTTCCCTTATTGAGAGATATAATTTTTTGCTTTCTGCTTAAGTTTGGGAAAATAGGACTTGTGTTAAGCGGGAACGCGAGCTTTGCAGACAGATCTCAGTTCCCCTGCCTCTTAGTAGCTGAATAATCTTGCGCAAATTAACTTCTACAAGGCTGGGTGTCTTCATCTGAAAAGTAAGGGCAGTACCTCCTAGGATTGTTTTAAAGGCTATAATGAAATAGCATGTGTAAAATGTTACTGTGTTCGGTTTGGGGGTAAGCGCGCAATACATTGTGTTTTAGTTTTGTCCTTTAGCCCTACGCATGGAGTTTGAAAAAGTACAGGTTAGGAATTGGGACTTTGTTAGATTTCCCTGAAAAAAATCAGGAATGGTTGGATTTGCGAGGAGCCCCTTTGAGATATTGAATCAAATAATTCAATCAAAAAAGACTGTGATTTGATTTCAGACTATCAATGGATACCCAGAAGGACGTTCAACCCCCAAAGCAGCAGCCAATGATATATATCTGCGGAGGTAAGAGCACTTACCTACATAAAGTGGGAGTATTTCACTTCAGTTTTGCAATAATTACATTACACTTAGTCTTAAACAAGTCATCTTTAAGTTATAAAGCAGAACACTAGCAACCCTAAAAAAAAACTCCTCTCATTAAGAGTTCATTTTCTTGCCAAGAAAACGTACAGCGCCCACAACTCTTTTTTTCTTTCCTCCTTAATATATTGATTGTTAAATAACAAAAGTTCAATTGAGTACATTTTAAAGATGTAAGAGGCTTTATTAATTGACTCATGAATCTGGCAGCATCCTGTCTAGGAAGTAGATGGGAACTCCAAAGGGCTACAGAAAAGGAAAGGTTTTAAAAGGTTGAGAGGAGTGGATAAAAGGAAATTATTAGTGAAGAATCCCTTGTTTAAGGTAAAGTCACTCTTCTAAGAGGAATGGAAAATCAGTAAATTTCCTAGTGCTGACAAGGAAATTCCCGTATTGACAAAGGTTGCATTTCTGCAGGGCTGAAACTGTAGTTAGGTTAGGTGTTAGGTCTTCGTTTACTGATTTGGGGCCGGTGGTTTTCTTTTTAACATGGTCATAGCACTGTACTCTTGAGATGGAGTACATTTTAGTGCTTTGGGTGAAAAATGCAGTTAAGGTAATTCGCTTGTCTGTAATATTTTCCCTTTAGACGTTGAGTAAACATGTTTTCTCTTTTAGAATGTCACACAGAAAATGAAATAAAATCCAGGGATCCAATCAGATGCAGAGAATGTGGATACAGAATAATGTACAAGAAAAGGACTAAAAGATGTATCCTTTTAATTTGCTAAATATAAACTAGGTGGAAGTGAAGAATAATGCTTGGGTTCTTAGTCAAAGACTAATTTCTGGTAAAAATGTTAATTAACTTTTGGTCTTCTTACCCAAAAAGCGGGGGCGGGGGGGGGCATGATTAGGATTTCCATAATCATTTTGTTTTTATTTTCATAAAAACTAATTCAGTGTAGGTGCATAGTGCATAAACTCAGAATCTAAATACTAGTAGATTTTGGATCAACTTTTCAGGATTCCATATTTAACTTATTTTGCTTATACTCATTTTTTGAGTTTGAGTTCATGGACAAACTAAATTATATAAAGAGAAATACAAATGCTGTATATGAATGCTACCTAATGGAAAAAGTGAGGCTTACAAGTTAGCCACAAGACTGAGAATACATTGTTATGTGGTAACTAATAATACAGTGTTTTTCAAACTGGTAAGTTATCTTGCTAACATTGCTTTAGTGTTTTTTGGTGCATTGGTCTTTTGTATCATGGAAAGAGGACTATGAAAATTGAAATCTTTTCTTGTAGTTCTTTTCCAGTTCTTATAGTAAATAGTTCCATTCTTTTCTGCATTTTATTTTATTTTATTAAAGTTTATTTAAGTAATCTACATCCAAAGTGAGGCTCGAACTTAACAGCCCTGAGATCAAGGGTCGCATGCTCTTCCAGCTTATCTAATTAGGCAGCCCCCCACCCTTTTTAATGTTTTTTTTACTTAATCTCTCTTTTCTGCATTTTAGATCACATAACTAGCTTATTGCAAAAAGAAAGTGACTTGGAAGTGTTAATCTTTTCATATAATTTTTAAATATGTGTTTTGTCCTTAACTTACTTTACTACAGTGGTGGTTTTTGATGCTCGATGAAACATGGAATTCAGAGGATTATCTTCATTTGAACTTGGACTTGCTGTTAATGTTGTATAGCTTTTGATGTGTGTATTTACCTTTATGAATACAACTACATACACATGATTTCATTTTAAAATTCATCTTGTATTTAGGTATCTATTAATAGTGTCTATAAAGAAAAATTATTTGTTCAATTACAGTATTTATAATTTCCTTTTTTTTAAGTGTTTATTTTTGAAAAAGTGCGAGCAAGGGAGGGGCAGAGAGAGAGGGACAGAGTATCTGAAGGGGTTTTTGGATCTGCACTGACAGCAGCAAGCCCGATGTGGGGTCTCAAATTCAAGAACCATGAGATCATGAGCTGAGCCCAAGTTGGATGCTCAACTGTTTGAGCTACTTGGGCACCCCTAATTTACTTTTATTGTGTGTGTAATCTGACACATAGGGAAAGTTAGAAATGCTTTCCTAAACCACACTTTTGATTAAAGCCTAGAATCTTGTAGGGGCCTTGTTAAAAATGAAGATTACTAGGGCCCTGTGAAGGTCTGATTAAGTAAGTTCCTTGGAAACTACTGTTTTACATCAAATTTGTAAACCCTCTGGCATAATTTTGTATTGAGAATACCAGTGTATTACTGTCACAATGCATGAATGTTTTGAGTTATATTTTTTAGTGTAACTTGGTATAGGCCTTCTGATAAAATGCTTGACCTTTTTTAAATCTTGGGTGTGTGAAAAGAAACTTCAGTGGTTGTTTCTGTAAGGCAAAACCAACCCTAAGTAAGGTGGATGAAGCACACTATTACAGCAGGTGTAGTTTCCATGGTGTAATCATTAATGTAAAAAATTCTGCTTTCAGGATATTTAAAAAAAAATAGGGACTAGTTTACACTGAACTGTGGATAGATGTTTAAAACTTTTGCCTTGATCTTAGGGATATGGATACTCAGATACTCCATCTGGTCCAGGATTCCATCATTATGGAATGTCCTCTGATATTCATTTCAAAGATTAGATATATTCTACCTTCACTAATAGCTATGTGTGTCTGTGAAATTCAAAAAGTTAACCTTGCCATTTAAAAAAAAAACAACTGTATTTCTACCACCATCTTTGAATACTAAGTTCTATAAATTTCTATGTGCTATAAAAGTACTACCATGCTCAAATTTTTTTTTTAATGTTTTTATTTATTTTTGAGAAAGAGAGAGACAGAGCATGAGAGGAGGAGGGGTAGAGAGACAGGGAAATACAGAATCTGAAGCAGGCACAGAGCCCATCGTGGGGCTCGAACCCACGAATGTGAGATCATGACCTGAGCCGAAGTCAGAAGCTCAGCCCACCGAGCCACCCAGGTGCCCCTACCATGCTCAAATTTTTAAAGAGTGGTTACTAGATGTAGGTTTTCCTCTAGCCATAGCTTTCATAATTTTGTAATTCTGCTATGTTCCTTGACCTTGTCTTTTTTAGATAAAAGAGCCCCAGGAAAAATGCTATGACAGTCCCATAAAAAACTCTCAACATTTTGGATATTGTTAACTCTTAACTTTTTTATTTTATCCTAGGTCTTTTACATATCATTAGTTTAATTGAATATTGTTAGTTTGTTAATTAGACAGTGGTTTAATGGAAAAAGTATTAACACTGGAACGTAAGACCAGCAGTTCAATCAGTCACCTTTTTGTGTCCCTTTCATCTATAAAAAATGGAAGTAATTTAACCTCTTGCCTACCTGGACAGTTTTAAGGAAAAAAGATAAATAGATACCAAATTGCTTTAAAAGAGTCTTTTGAATAGTGCTGTAGAAATATAAAACTCAGTAAATCTGAGCTTAAAGTAGACGCATAACTTGTCCCCTACTTAAACTGCTTACCAATGACTTAGGGACATGTATGTTCATGAAAAATGCATGGAAATAGGTTCAAATCCAGCCTTGCTACTCAGTGGCCAGTTCATTTCTTTTAACTTCAGCTTCATTGTCAAAATGGAGGAATTTATAATGGTCTCAAAGCACTCTGAAGTTACCTTCAGATACTGAAGTTCTGAAAGATTTAAAAATAGATAAAATCAGAAATGGCCACTCTTAAAGAAAAAATATATAAGGTGAGAAAGTGTAAACTGAGAAGATGTAAAAATGAGTTGCCTCCTCGCATATACAAATGGATGGACATCTGCACCCCTCCTAGAACAATTGGTCAAGGGAGACTGACTATTTGAGCTGAAGGATGGGCTGAAGGATGAGAAGGAACCTGACATAGTAAGACAAGAGGAAGGAGTATTCCTGAAATTGAGAAAATAGCCAGTGTAATGGCTCAGGGGTTGAAAGTAAGCTTGCCTTTTTCCCACTTCAGAATGAAGCCCTTGTGACTCACACTCTGAAGCAGGCAGAGAGGCCTGCTCACTTAACAGGTTTCAGGATGGGAGGAAGCAGGAGAGTGACATGGGTAAGATTTAAAGGATTACTTGAGCTGTTCTGTGAGAATGGATAATGTAGGGATGGGTGATGGATGGGGAAAGTCCGTTAAGGGTATGAACACATACTAGTTCAGGATAATAATAATGATGGCTGAACCAGGGTGGTAGCTGTGGAAGGAAGTTAGGAGTGCCTGGTTGTAAGATAACATTTTGAAGTTGAGGTTAATGGGACTGACTGATTGGTTAGTACTTAAGAGCTTAGTAAACAGTATGGACTTTGGTAAAAGGCTTTGGGTTCAGATATCCACAGTGTCCTTTACTAACTGGCAGTGTGACTTCACCAGGATTCACTTTCCTCATTAGTAGGATAGGTATGAAATAATAGCACCTACCTCAGAGGTTAGTTGCAAAATAAAATGAATCCATAAAAGCTCTTATCCTAACAAATGTTAACTATTATCTCCATTACTGTGTGTACGTCTTACTGTTTTCCACAAAGATGATTTTGTTAGTTTTGGGATTAGTCTCCCAGCTATGGGCCTTGTTGTCTCCGTACTCTTGAGATTGCTCTTTCTGAAATAACAGATTTCATGGCACTGTCCTGCTGAAAATCCTCATTGGCTCCCTATTTTGATAAAACTATTGGGAGTAGTATATTTGGTTCCTGATAATATGACTCCTTTTCTATCTCTGTCACAAGTTCAGCCCACCACTCACTTAATCTTTTGGTTCTAAGGAGATCTCTGCAGTTCCTTAAGCAGGTAACACACTTATTTCTTCCTAAACTGCCTTTCTGAGGCTTTTCTCCCTGCATTGAAATGACCTTTTCTGTTCTTCACCAGCATCAGAATTTTGAAGGATTAAACAATCCTTAGTTTCCAGTATTGTTGAGAAGTCCAAAACCATTCTTCTACCTAATCCTTTGTGTGTGATTCATTTCTCTCTGGAAATGTAGAATTTTCATTGCTGGTGTGTTGAAATTTTGTAATATGTGCCTTGGTATGGGGCTCTTTTCCACTGCTCTGGTCACTTGATGGGTACTTTCAACCTGGAAGATCAAGCTCTTCAATTCTGGGAAATTTTCTTAAAATTGTTTAATAACTTCCTGCCCTTGATATTTTCTTTTCTCTAGGTCTTTTTTTAAAACAAAATCTAATATTACACTTATTGATCTTTCTCATCTTTCCTTTTCCCTTTTTTCTTTGCTCTTTAAAAGATGCCTTCAATTTTACTTTCTTTTTTTTCTTTTTTATTTTTTTAAGTAAGCTCTACAGACAATGTGGGGCCTCAACTCATAACCCCAAGATGAAGAGGCACGTGCTCCACTAACTGAGCCAGCCAGGCGTCCCTCAATTTTAGTTTCTAATCCATTTACTGGGATTTTCATTTCTGGTATAATTTTAATTTCTGTAAGGTTATTAGTTTTTCTTCAAATGTGTATTTGAATATACATTCAAAGAAAAAGTATACATTGTTTCTTGGATGCAAAATCTTAACTCTACAAAGATGATAGTGATAATTTTCTTTTGCCTACATAGTCCATTCCAGTCAAATTACTTTTTATCCTACTTGTTTATTCAGTGTAAGTGTATATACATAATTGTAACCAGAAAAAAACAGTGAAAAGAAAATGATAGGCATGTGGAATAACAACCATTTCACCAAATATTTAAAGGATTTCTTCTGATGCTGGAAGTAAAATACCAAGTTACAATAGTCAGTGTTTTAAGCGTAGGACATAATGTTGAGTGAAGTTTGTTGGCTGGAATGAGGTATGAAATGACTATACATCGATAGGGGCATGTGATGATGTTCCTCATGACAATTCAATAAAACTTATTAAGGATTACTCTAAAATTTGAATCTGTCTATAAATGTGCAAATTTAACGTTCTTTAGCACTGGCAATGGGAATAATAATAAATATATTGCTAATAATGTTTTTAGCAGAATTTTTGCCACTATCAGTGCCTGCTAAATTAGACTGTAGATCTAATTTAAGTGCAGAGGGGACGGGTAATTACATTATTGAATTCCTGTTGTGTGCCAGGCACTAATCTGAAATTATAAAGTGAAATACGTTTCTTCACATATCCTATCTACTGCTTTATTTGGATTGTGTTATGTCTTATTTGCTTTTGTATCCCAAAGCCCAGTACAATGCCTGACTCAAACCAGCGCTCAGAAAATGTTGAATTCCTGCAAAGGAAGACAATCATTTACACTTCTGCGTAAAGAGGAGGGGCTAAATCTGGGTTGCATTGTAGATATCCTGAACGTTTAGTTATATTTCTAAAATTGAAATGGAATGGTTATCAATTTACCTTGAAGGTAGTTTTAACCATCCTGAACTGTAAAGGCGTTTAACTCCATCGAAAATGAATGCAAAGCAGAGAGGGAACCCTCCCACTTGGGCTCTTCCTTCTCTCTTAATGGTCTGTGCCGGCGAAGCTGGGCGTGGAGGCCAATGAGGGCGGCAGGTCGAGGGCCAGCCAATCATTCGCAGAGGCCCTAGTCCCGCCCCCGGCGGTCCGCCTCTGGCCTTTGGGTGCCCAGGCGGGGCGACACGCCCCCATCTCGGCACCTGCGGCACCTGCGGCGCCTGTGGTGAATTGTGTAGAGGTCTCTCGCTTCCACCGCGCGGGGTCTGAGAGCCAGGTGAGTACCCGCCGGCAAAGAGTAAATTACATCTCCCCATAGCACTTCCCTCCGGGAGCTGGGGTGAAAGGCGGACCCCGAGAAGCAAAGAAGCAAATGCACTGTCGGACTCGACTGAGGGAGTGCGTTCTGGGATGAACAAACTGGGGCTTCAGTTTCCTGCAGCTTAAGGTGGCAGATGTTGGGACGGGGGTTGCTGGGGTCCGTTCGCGGCGACGAGAGCTGGGGAGTGGGGGGCAATCTGAGTGTCCTAAAGGGCCTACTGACCAGTTGTCTGTAGAGCTGAGGGTTCCCGGCCAGTTCCTGACCCCCCGCTGCTCTCGGCCGCGCTGTACACAGAAACCGTTGCTAGGGCTGAGGAAGCCATTTTCTCGGTATTCGCCTGCAGGGGGCGCTCGGCCCTGTGGTTGCAGGAAAGAACGTGCCTAGGTGGAAGAAAACCTAGGCTGTGTTGCGCATCTCGGTTCGCACCGGAGGTATTTCTGCCAGCTGATTAGGGAATATGGGAACAGAATGTGGCTCAGGATGATGAAGAAGTGATTAAATCCAACGAGGACCGAGGTTTTTCCTAATCAAATTACAAACAGATGTGGAAAGGTTCAAATGAGAACAAAGATTGCATGACTTCCTTTTTGGAACTTGAGAATTAACATTTAGTAAGATGTGCATCATGCCACAGAACAACCCAAACCAAACATGGTAGTTTTCAGAAGGGATTTTCAGGGAAATGTTAAAACTGCAGAATGAAATTTATTTGCTTAGGTAAGAGATGGCTGTTATTTCCAATGCTTTTCACTGTAATTTCTTCAAATCGTGAAATTTCAGGGGATGCAAAATCAATTCAAGATCATGTATTTTGAACCTGTTGGATATTTTTAAGGTTCTCCCATGAAAGATCCTCCAACTCTTTGGGAACATTCTGCTAGTGCAACCCATTGTGTTCTGGGCGGCAGCAATCATTTAAAAGTTCTTCATGTTGCTCTCCAGTAACTTCTAACCTTAAGGCTGTCCTTGTTATGGGACACGTTCATCATCCCGGGCCCATCATCCCAGGCACTACCATGCCAGTACAGTGCACAAACTACAACTCATTTCTCAACTGGATCTCATCTGAAAGCTGATGAACTGTCAATCGGTGTTCTTTGCCCAAGTCAAAGCCAGCAGGAACGTGGAGAACCTGGAGAGCCTCTCCTGCAGAGGTCGATGTAGGACCCGAATCCCAGAGGGCAGGCATGCTGGAGCAAATACCTCTGGTGAATTAGACCCATTGCCACGTATTGTTTTAAAACGTATAACCCAGGGTGCCTGGGTGGCTCAGTCGGTTAAGCATCGACTTTGGCTCAGGTCATGACCTCACAGTTTGTAGGTTTGGGCCTGCGTGGGGCTCTGTGCTGACAGCTAGCTCAGAGCCCGGAGCCTGTTTTGGATTCTGTGTCTCCCTCTCTCTCTGACCCTCCCCTGCTCATGATGTCTGTCTCTCTCAGAGATAAATAAAAAACATTAAAAAAATAAAAATAAATAAAACGTAAAACCCAGTATGTTTTACTTCGGTGGTTTTTAAACGATTTTGGCAATGATTCATGATAAGAAATATATTTTATTTGCAACATGTGTGTGTAAAACAAATGTATTTACACACATTTGTCATTTGTATAGACATGAAATAAAAGTTTTCACAAAACAACTTAATGGTATGTGAAGTAGTCAGTCTTTTTGTTGCTGTTCTTTTCTGTCTCATTATAAACCAGTGCTAATGGCAACTCACTAAATTGATTGCAGGGGTTGCCACCTGTGGTTTGAAAAGCCTGGGGATGATGCTGAGTATGAATGCTCTGCAGTTGCCCACTGAGATTCAAATCCCCAGTTCACTACTTAATAGCTATATGACCTGGAGCAGGTAACTTAAAATATCAACTTCCTTATCTGTAAAATAGTAATTATTCATAACCCTCACGAGAGTGGTTTTGAAGATCATGTGAGATAATCCATGGCACGCAGTAATTTAGCTCTGTAAGTGCTAACTGTTATCACTGCTCTTAAAACCTACCTGCTACAGTAGTTGAAAGATTAAATGAAGTAAGGTATATAAAGGTCTTGGGGTGGTGCCCAGCACACATTTAGGACTGTGTATTTGTTGCTCTTATTATCGTCATCATTAGCAGCAACATCAGTAAAGTGAAACTGTCCAAGGCCCCCTTATTCCCATTTCAGTTCAGCAAGTGTTTCTAAGGGTGTAAGGCATAATTATGTTAGTCCTGAATATATGATGATGAATAAAAGTAAGATCTCACAATCTAGAAGGGAAGACAAAAATACGTAATTAGAATATATGCCATGAGAAAGGTATGGGCACAATGCCATTAGAACACAGATCTGGGAGATGTTCATTGATGCAACTGGGCAGCAGAGAATGTAAGGAGGTGGGGAAAGGTGAAAGGGGTGATGACTTAACTGTTGTTATCAGGGAGAGAGAGTTTAAAATGAGTAGCCTTCCTTAGAAAAAACACCACTGCTTTTCCATCGACATGAAAAATAAATGATACAGAAATGCCTAGATGGTTACTACTATCCAAATTAAAAATGTATTAAGTATGTACTTCATCACTTTTTTCTATGCTACATTTCAGCCATGACTACCAAAGATTATCCATCATTATGGGGCTTTGGAACAACAAAAACATTTAAAATTCCTGTTGAACACTTGGATTTCAAGTATATTGAAAAATGTTCAGATGTTAAACACTTAGAAAAAATTCTTTGTGTACTCAGGTAAGCATTCAAGAATCATCTTATGTTTCAGTATGCCAATTATATTGTGCCTTCTGAGAGTTTCAACTCTCAGAAATATTGCAGAAAGTTTTCAAATATTGATGTTGGGCTTTTTTCCCCCAAGTTAGGTTCCAAAATAGTTGTTTTGATCCTGTGGTTAGTTTGGAGGGTTCTGGCTAGGTCTACTTCCAACGTGCAATTTCGGCTCATTAGTATTCAAGAGGATATTTTTCTTGCTTCCTCCACGTTTTCTAGGAAAAGGTAAGGTAGCCTTGGGAGTAGCCGTTAGGAGATAAGGTTAGCTCACCAGTCTGCCAGTTTAGAAAGTTCTTTGGTACTCTCCCACTCAGTACTATCTGCCAACAAAACTGATGACTTACTCTGAGCTGTCACAAGGAGAGGATGGTGGGGAGGCCAGGGAACCTGGGCCTTCTCTGGGTGAGGGCCCCATGGTGGTGATTGTTAGACTTTGCTATACATCAAATATGGTTTTTAAAAACGCAAATTTGCAGGTCCCATTCCCAGAGATCCTCCCTCAGGAAATCTGGGGTGGGACCCAGGAACATATGTTTTTAAACAAGTGCCTGGCTAGTTGACAGGCAGGTGGTCAAGGGAGCCCACTTCAAGAAACACTGCCCTGTGGCATACAACTCTGGGCCACCTTTTTTGGATGTCATGAGGAGTTTCCCTTTCCTTCCTAATATTGTGGGAGCACTTGTGGAGCAGGAATTGCTCCTTTTGAGGTCGTCAGTAGTATTCCTTTTGCTTGTGGCAGTTCTCTATTTTCTTCTTATGACCACCTTCGTCATCACTGTGTCATCATCTTTTTCTGTTATCACCTTCAGCATCCCTGCTTATGCCCAGCCAGAGTAGATGTCATAACCTCATCACTTCCGTAATAGAACGATGAAAGATACCACATTTTTCCTTTTTTTCTCAGCAGTATATGAACATTTTCATTTATGTTGGGTCAAGGACTGATAAAGCAAACAAGAAGTTGGTGTGATGGAAGAGTTTGAAAGCCACGTTATGTTGGTTCTAAGAAATTCTATGAATAGCTTAATTAAGTTACATTGCATTGGCTTGGAGTTCTTTTTAAAAAATAATTTGAAAGTGGGATTTTTTTTCTATTTTTCTAAAAATTTAGAAGTAAACAGAAGTACAGGAGAAAAGGAAATGATTGATTTTCCTTAAAAAGCAATGAACAGAGTTTTCCATTTAACTCTCTAGGAATGAATTCTGTTCCTTGAGTGGTCAGTTAGAGGTGTGTTCTGAACCCTTCCTCTGCCATTTTCTTCCTATCCCTTTGGGAAAAAAAATTGAGCTACAAACTCCTCCTTGGAAAGGAAATCCAGTCTCATTTTGTGCCTATCTCTAATACTGAATTTCCATGTATAAGTTAAAATTACCTTATATAACAAAATGAACATGTTAAAGAGGAGAGAAGATGTTATTTGTTCACCTTTCAAAGTGTGTGATAGAAACTGGTCTTTGGGGCTCCATTTTTTCCTTCACTGCATCACTTCATAGAGTAACATAAAAATGGAGGTTGTGCTGGTCGGGGAAGGTGAATGGGGAGCCTGCACTCCAGCCTTCATCCCTGTGCAGGGGCTGCCCTGGAGATCTCCACAGAACCCCTCTGCTCCACAGAGCCCAGCTTGTAAACCACCAGACTACATGATCTCCAAAGAAAGTGGTAACTCCAAAGTTTGAATTTTTTTAAAGGTCTGGTGAGGAAGGATATTATCCTGAACTTACGGAATTTTGTGAAAAGCGCCTTAAAGGCTTGGCTCCTGGAAGTAGAGCTTTGAGGAAAGATAAACCTGCAGCAACAGCATCCAGTTTTACAGCAGAAGAATGGGAAAAAATTGACGGTGATATAAAGGTATAAAGTGACACTGGTTTCTGTGACATTGTCACACTATATATATGTCTACTTCACTTTTCCAAAATCCTAGGCTTCTTTCTCTTTTTGTCAGTGAAGGGCTTTTAGTGTTAATCACTTAGGTAGTATTGGTTGCGTCTCACACCCAGGAGAATATTGTGAATGTGTATATTTTTGTGTCCGTACACCCACATGTGTATTTTTTATTTTATATATTTTTTGATGTTTATTTATTTTTGAGAGAGAGGGAGAGACAGAGCAGAAGTGGGGAGGGGCAGGGAGAGAGGGAGACACAGAATCTGAAGCAGGCTCCAGGCTCTGATGTGGGTTCTCAAACAGAGATCATGACCTGACCTGAGCTGAAGTCCAGCACTTAACCAACTGAGCCACCCAGGCACTCACCATGTGTATTTTAAATGACTGAACAATATTCTATCCTATCAAAGAAAAACAATTGACTCAGCCTCTATAAATAGTGCTATACAAACATGTTGGTTTATAATTTCTTTTGTACCATCCTGGTTATTTCCTCAGGATAGATTATTAGTATTCAAGCTGCTTGATCAAAGGATTTGAATAATTTTAAGGCTGTTGAAACATATTTCCATATTCTCAGAGAAGTTGTGCCTTTTCACCAGCAGTATATATTAATGCCCGTTTAAGGCATTCTTCACTGGGGCCCTTGGGTGACTCAGTTGGTTAAGTGTCTGCCTTCAGCTAAGGTCATGATCTTATGATCTGTGAGTTCGAGCCCTGGTTCAGGCTTTGTGCTGACAGCTCAGAACCTGGAGCCTGCTTTGGATTCTGTGTCTCCCTATCTCTCAGCCCCTCCCCTGCTTGCTCTCTTGTGTGCCCTCTCTCTCAAAAATCAATAAACATTTTGAAAAAATGAAGGCATTCCTCATGGGTACTGTAATCATTTTTTAATCAAATAATTGAAAAATGATAATGGTGTATTTGATTACTAGCAACATTAAATTTTTTTGTCTATCAGTTGAATTTCTTCTTTGTTAATGGCCTATATGTTTAGTGATTTAATCAGCTGTATTGAGGTATAATTTACATTCAATAAAAAATAGCAATCTAATGGCCTACATTTCACTGAGTTTTGACACCTGTATATGCTATAAAACATTTCTGTTTGTCTGAAAAGTTTCCTTGTGTCCCAGTGCAGTCAGTGCTGACTTCACACCCTGGTCCCTGGTAACCTTTGAACTGCTTTCTATCATACAGATTTGTCTTTTCTCGACTTTTCTATAAATATAATCAAATTGTGTGTGTGGTCTTTTGTGTCTTCTCTCACTTAGCATCATGCTTTTGAGGTGTACCTCTGTTGTTGCATGTTCGTAGTTGGTTTCTTTTATTTGCTGAGTAGTATTGAATTGTGTGAGTATCTCATGGTTTGTTTATCCACTTTCCAGTTGGGCAAAATGTTTTCCAAAGTGGCATTCCTGCCAGCAGTGTATAAAAGTTCTTGCTGCTCTGCGTCCTGGTTGGCAGTTCGTACTGGCAGTTTTATTAATTTTAACTATTTTATTAAGTATGCAGTGGTATTTCATTGTGGTTTTAATTTCCATCTTATTTTTTTTTAATTTTTTATTTATTTATTTTTATTTCTAGGAGAGAGAGAGAGAGAGAGAGAGACAGCGTGAGCAGGGGAGGGTCAGAGAGAGAGGGAGTCACAGACTGAAACAGGCTCCAGGCTCTGAGCTGGCAATCAGCACAGAGACCGACACGGGGCCCGAACCCACAAACCGCGAGATCATGACCTAAGCGAAAGTCGGACGCTTAACCGACTAAGCCACCCAGGCGCCCCTCCATCTTATTATTTTTAAGAAGTTTTTAAGGCTTATTAGTTTTTGAGAGAGAGAGAGGGACAGAGTTCTAGTGGAGGAGGGGCAGAGAGAGAGGGAGACACAGAATCCAAAGTAGGCTCCAGGCTCAGAGCTGTCAGCACAGAGCCTGACATGGGGCTTGAACCCACCAAGCGTAAGATCATGACCTGAGCCAAAGTCTGACGCTCAACTGACTGAGCCACCCAGGTGCCCTTTAATATCCATTTTAATGATGACTTTGCTGAGGGTCTTTTCATGTGCCTATATGGCATCCATAGATCTTTTTTTGTGAAAAGTCTTGAAATCCTTTGCCCATTAAAAAATTGAATTATTTGTGTTCATATTTAGTTGTAAAATACATATCTTTCACTAGATACACATTTTGCAGGTATGTGGATTCCCTTTTCATTTTTATAACAGTGTCTTTGGAAGAGCGAAGGTTTTTAATTTTGATGAAATCAGTTTTTCTTTTACTGATTTCTTTTCTTTTACTGAAAAAGATTTACTTTTTCGTTGTTTTAACTCTTCTAGGTCCTTTGCTTGCCAATTGCTGCAAAATAACTTGCTTGTCTTTGGGTTGGGATTGTCGTGAGTTTATGGATCAATTTTGGAATAACTGACATCTTAACAATATTGACATTTTCTGATCCATGAACATCATATGTTTTCTGTTCGTTTAAGTCTTCTTTAATGTCTTGTCCCAGTATCCTGTAGTTTTTAGTGCATAGTTCTTGCATGATTTTTGCTAAATTTATTCCTAAGTATTTCATATATTTTATGCTATCGTAAAAGTTAATGTTTTTTATTTTTAAAAATTTTTAAAGTTTTATTTATTTATTTTGAGAGAGAGAGAGAGAGAGAGCATGCATGCAGGAGGGACAGAGAGAGGGAGAGACAGAATCCCAAACAGGCTCTGCTTTGTTGGTGGAAAACCTGATGTGGGGCTTGAACTCGCCCCATGAACTGTGAGATCATTACTTGAGCTACAGTCAAGAGAAGGATGCTTAACCAATTGAGCCACCCAGGCACCCCAAAGTTAATGTTTCTTAATTTCAATTTTTTTTTTTTGCTCATTCTAAATCACTCTAGTTGCAAAATTGTACGTATGTATGTATTTTTGGTGTGATAAAATACATATCATATAAAATTGACCATCTTAGCCATTTTTAAGTGTATACTTCATTAGTATTATATTCACATTGTTGTATTAAGACATTAAAAAATTTTTTAATTTTTTTAAAGTTTATTCATTTATTTTGAGAGAGAGAGAGTGAGCATCAGTGGGGGAGGGGCGGGGAAAGAGGAAGACAGAATCTCGAACAGGCTCCATGCCGTCAGCAAGTCCGAAACCGGGCTCAGTCTCACAAACTCTGGGATCGTGACCTGAGCTAAAACCAAGAGTCAGACGCTTAACTGACTGAGCCATCCAGGCACCCCATTATATTTAGACATTTTTAAGTATACGGCTCATTAGTGTTGTACAATCAGTCTCCAGAATTTTTTTATTTTATAGAATGGTACACATTAAACCACAATTCTCCAATTCCCTCTGCTCTCAGCCCCTGGCAAACACCATTCTACTTTCTGCTTCATAAGTGTGACTAATGTAGATACCTCATATCAGTGGAATTTTAATTTCATTTTTATTTGTCCACTGCAAGTTTATAGTTTATGATCTCTCTCTTTTTTTTTAATGTTTTATTTATTTCTAGGAGAGAGAGAGAGAGAGAGACAGCGTGAGCAGGGGAGGGTCAGAGAGAGAGGGAGTCACAGCCTGAAACAGACTCCAGGCTCTGAGCGGGCAGCCAGCACAGAGCCCGACGCGGGGCTTGACCCACGAACCATGAGATCGTGACCTAAGTGAAAGTCGGACGCTTAACCGACTAAGCCACCCAGGCGCCCAGTTTATGATCTTCTTATATTGACTTTGTTTCCCGCAATCTTGTTAAATTTACATATTAGTTCTAATAACTTTTTTTTAGATTCATTGGAAGTTTTTATATGTAGGATCATGTTATCCACAAATAATAAAAGATCTCCTTTGTCTTTTCCAGTATGGCTGCCTTTGATTTCTTTTACGTTACTTATTGAGCAGGCTTGGCTGTCTAGTACAATGTTGAATGGAAATGGTAAGAGCAGATGTCCTTGTCTTGTTCACAATATTAGGGAGATTATCATTCAGCCTTTTTTTCACCATTAAGTTCAGTGTTGCCTTTAGATTTTATGATGTGACCCTTTATAAGGCTGAGGAGGGGACCTTCTGTTCCTTGTTTGATGTGAATTTTTATCATGAATAGGTATAGAATTTTATAAATTCCTTTCCTGCATTGAGAGGTACATAAGATTTTCTTTGTAGCCTGTTAATAAGGTATATTATGTACACTGTTTTCAAATGTTATAGCAATCTTGAATTTGAGGATAAACTCTACTTGGTCATGATGTGTCTTTTTAATATATTTCTGGATTTAATTTGCTGAAGTTTTTTGAAGGATTTTTGTGTCTGCAGTCATGAGAGATATTAGTCTATAGTTTTCTTGTAATGTTGTTGTCTGGTATTGGTAACATGGTAATACTGGCTTTGTGGAAAAAGTTGGGATATGTTCTCTCTTTTTTAATTTTCTAAAAAAGTTTGTGTGTAATTGCCATTATTTCTTCCTTAAATATTTTCCATAATTCACCACTGATGCCATCTAGGTCTCAAATTTTCTTTATAAGAAAGATTTTGATGATGAATTAAATTTCTTAAACAGATACAGTGCTCCTCAGGTCATCTTTAGAGTCATTTCTGTCTCTCCCTCTTCTTGGATATTTTGCACCCCATATCTCTGCAGTCTTTGCCTCTCTGAAGCCTAAACTTTGTTCCTCCAAACTGAATGAGACCTCAGGGCTACTTGGGTTTCCTTTCCCTATGCTACAGCCTGGAAATTATAGGCAGTAAATTGGGACAAATGCTGGACTTAGCTCATTTGTTTCCTTTCTTTCAGGGATCATTGTCCTGTTCTACCTATCGTCCAGTGTGTGAAAACCATCATTTCATGTTTTATCCAATTTTCTAGAAGCGAGAGGGCAAATCCAGTCCCTGATACTCATCCATTAGGGCCGGGAGGAGATATCCCTTTATTGATTTTTCTATTGATGTGTTTCTTATTTATTTGTAAGACATCTGTGGTATACATTCTAAATTTTCTTTCAATGTGTTATTAGTTTCTTAAATCTTGTGTGTGGTGTTTTTCATGTTTATTCATTAAAGAAATTTATGTCATCACTGTTCTTGGTTTTATCCTTTATGATCTTTTCTTGCTTTTGTATTTGGGAAAACTCCCTCTCCACCATACACATACTTGTATTTCCTCAGAGTTCTTTGTGGTTTCCTTTTGCGTAAGAAATAACTTCCTAAAATGAATTCTGGAGAAACAGTTTTTTGTCGTTTTACTTTATCTTATTCGGCATATTCTACTGGGTTGAATAATATATTTGAAGATAATTTCGAGGAATATGTATTCTCTAACTCTGAAAGCTATTTTTAAAAACTTTTCTCATTTTGCTATTTTATTGACTTGACATTGAGAATCTGGTAATTAATCTACAAGTTAAAATAGCAGTTTGTGCCCAGAGCTCTTTGGCTTTATTTTCCAGGGAATAACAGCTTAGTTTTAGTTGCTGAACCTGCTTTTTTTCCAACTGTGTGCTGTTTCTCAGTCACCTCTTGATTTTGTCTCCTCATCTCCCTTTCTTTCATGCCTTTCCCTGCCACTTCTCCCCTCTACACCCCCTCCCTCCTGTTCCCCCTTCTCTCTTTCTTTCCTCCTTTGTAATTCCACCTCATCCTTTTCACCTTTCTTCCCTTACTGTTTGTCTGTTTCTTCTCCTGTTTGACCTCTCTACCTCCTTTTTGTTCTCTGCCTCTTGAGGCAGATAATATAGTTTATCGCTGTATCAACCATGCCTAATTTAATATAGTCTGACATATATTGGACCCTCACTATATAGCCGCTGAATAATAATAATAGAATTTCACAGATAACAAAGAAATCTCTCACTCAATTTCTTCCTGGAACCTGTGACAATTCAGTTTAATAAATATTATGAGCCTGTTATGGGCCAGGCACCGTGCTAGGTTCAGACATCAAAAAGATGAGATGAAGACATAGGTTCTGCCTCCAAGGAACTTATAGAATGTGAGAGAGATGATCAATACATGGATGATTTTAAATCTCTGTGCTAATACATGGAGGAGGGGCATTTCTAGTCCAACCAGAAAGTTCAGGAAAAGCTTGTTGGAAGGGATGAGAGTAAGCTTGAAGATAATACAAGTAGGAAGGGCAGCACCATGTGAATATGCATAAAAATATTGAACCATACACTTAAAAGTGGTGAAGATGATAAATTTTGTTTTATGTATTTTACCACAATTTAAAAGAATAGTACATTGGGGTGCCTGAGTGGCTCAGTTGGTTAAGGGTCCACCTCTTGATTTTGGCTCATGGCATGAGTTGGTGAGTTCAAGGTGCACATTGGGCTTTCTGCTGATGGTGCAGAACCTGCTTGGTATTCTTTGTCTCCCTCTCTCTTGCCCTCCCCTGCTCACGCTTTCTCTTCTCAAAATAAACAAATAAACATTAAAAAAAAATAGCAGAAGAGCATTACAGGTAGAATGGCATGACCAAATTGTCATCCAAAAAAATGACCCATAAGAAACTATGATGATGTATAGTCCTTTCTAACACGTGGTTAATTACTCCAAGCTGTATGCTTATCTTCTTTCTTCTCCCTCTTCTCAGAGTTGGGTATCAGAAATTAAAAATGAAGAAAATAAAATACACTTTCACGAAACAGCAACAGAAGATAATTTGCCTCCAGTTCGTGGTTCAAACAGCCGTCTTCATGTTAGTAAGGTGGGACATTTTGGTGTGGGGTGCGGGTGGTAGGGGGAGACGATTGTTGTTTATTAAGGGCGCTAGCTCAGTTTAATCAGAGTAACCACAGTGTGATGTCCTCTGAGAGTTGGGGATTATCCTTCAGCTGGACGTGTGCTATTGCCTTCTTGAGTAGGCTGTTTCATCACCCTGAGATCAAAATGAAATGCCATTTCCCTTTGAAGACCTTCACCCCGAGCTTCTACCTTTCTTCATTTTTTCATTCGTTATGCCATCTGCTCTATTCTGACCAGTTTTGATGAGCACATGAGATCTAATTCAGTGTGTGAGAATCTCAGGGAATAATTTTATCTGTCCAGTAGAAGCATAGAGGAAGTAATTTGTAACATTATTAACTATGGACTTAAGGTATTCAAGCAGTTATAGATGTCATTCCTCTGTTTATTGCATATTGTTTCCCCTTATTTCCCCAGCCCCTTGTGATGATTTTTCTGTGATTGATCCCTCTTTTGTTCTGTAGACCTGTCCTTTTTAACCCATGGGTTTCATAGAGAAGAAGCCTGTTGGAGTTCCAAGTCCATTTATATATTTTTAAAAATGTTTATTTATTTATTTTGAGAGAGAGGGAGAGAGTGAGAGAGAGAGCGTGAGTTGGGGAAAGGGAAAGAGAGAGAATCCCACACAGAGCCCAACAGTGCAGAACCTGACACAGGGCTTGATCTCACTAACTGTGAGATCATGACCTAAGCCAAAATCTAGAGTCAGATGCTTAACCAACTGAGCCACCCAGGTGCCGCCTGGTCCATTTATACTTAACTTCAAGTTAAAACTGGGCTGCTGACCTTCCACCTGACTCAGATATTATAGAACTAGCCATTGCCTTGTGGGCGTTGGGAGTCTATGGGCTCTCATGTGGATCACATTCCATTCCCTCTCCCCTGATTTTTTCTTTTATTCCTATCATTTGTGGAAGATTGGCCACCCAAATTTCTTCATTCTGGATAACTCATTGTTATTCTCATTTTTTGTTTGAATACTCAATTTTATTGAAAAAAAGTCCATAGCCCTTCATCACACAGCTCTCTGATAATTAACCTTCCTGCATCTTTTTACTTTCCATTAAGAATTACTCATGTAACTGAGGTACACAGTAATATGGTAAGGGTGCCACTGTCTGTAATCAATAAATTTGTATTTATTGCACACCCATTTTGTGCGAAGTCTGTGCTCTAAAAATGTAACAGGAGGTTATAGTTGAGTGCAGTATTATGATTCTGAAGGTATAATCCATGGATCCTGGGTATCCCAGAGATCTTCCAGAGGGGTCTAGAAAGTCAATGCTATTTTTAAAAATAATACTATTTCTTTGTCTTCTTTTCTGTATTGACATTTGCATCCAAGTGAAGCTGCTGGTGCCTTAGCACAAATCAAGGCAGTGAGTGGCACCAAACTATACTAGTAATCACTTTTTCCCACTGCTACCTGTTTACAGTAAAAAACTCCAGTTTAACTTTAAAATGTCTTGGAAGAATCAACAAAACTTCTTTATTTTGTTAAATCTTGAATCTTGGGGACACACATCTTTTTAATATTCTGTGTAACAAAATGTGAAGTATTCAAAAACACTTCAAGGGCTGCCTGTGTGGCTCAGTCAGTTAAACATCTGACTCTTGATTTTGGCTCAGGTCATGATCTCATGGTTCAGAGGATTGAGCCCTGTGCATCAGGCTCTGTGCCAAGAGCCTGGAGCCTGCTTGGGATTCTCTCTCGCTTCCTCTCACTCTCTCTCTCTTTCTCTCTTTTTCTCTCTCCCTCCCTCCCTCCCTCTCAAAATAAATAAATAAACTTAAAAAAACAAACAAACCAAAAAGCACTTCACTATGAAGTGAAATCTGTTGGTTATTTTGAGATCTGTAGGTTGAATTGCCAGCTTAAGTAACCACTTTTTCCTGGAACAGTTTTTAACTTGAAAGAGTGATTGACAGACCAGTTGTGGTTATTCACACTTGGGCTTTCGACAGACACTGTATTGAAAATGAATGAAGTGTGTCACTTTAGGGAAAAGAATTGACAGTGGTTTTTGCTAGTGATAAAATCTGAGCTTTCAAGTGCAGCTTAGAGTATTTCAAAATCTTATGTGGCTCTTAAATATCTGCTGCGACAAAAAAAATTTCCCCTTAAAGAGATACTGAAAGATTTTTCTGATGAGCTCCATGAAGATATTAACAGATAAGATTTTTAGTTTTATTTATTTACTTTTTAAATGTTTATTTTGGGGGGGAGAGAGAGAGAGAGAAGTGGGGGAGGGACCGAGGGGGGTGCAGAGGATCCAACATGGGCTCTGCACTGACAGCAGGGAGTCCGGTGTTGGTCTTGGATTCACCAACCATGAGGTGATGACCGACTGAGCCACCCAGATGCCCCAAGATTTTTAAATTGTATACTGAAAGGTAGGAATATTTAGAAGAGCTGCATAACTCCAAATGACCAATGCCCAATGTTACAAAATTGTGCATATGTAAACCACCCATTCAAAGTGGTTTCAGATTGTGACTGACTTTTAAGAAGCTATTTAAGAAACTGCAGTTGAGCATTATGGCTATTGTTTACATTCTTCTCTTTCTCTTCTGGTGCTTGTAGTGGGCATGTGACCGAGGTTGGGCTACTGAATAGCGGTGAGCTAGTGCCTGCTCAGGGATGGGCACCTGACCCATGTTTGCCAGTCCTGAGTCCCTCCCTGGGATTTCTCTACCTGAAGGTAGAGAGAAGAGGCATTCTCCTTTTTCTTTCTTTCCTTCTTTCTTTCTTCCTTTCTCCCTCCCTCCCTCCTTTTCTTTCTTTCTTTCTTTCTTTCTTTCTTTCTTTCTTTCTTTCTTTCTTTCTTTCTAATAAAGACTAATTTTTTAATTTTAATTTTAGAGAGAGAGAATGCGAGTGGGGGAGAGTGGGAGAGGGGCAAAGGGAGAGAGAGAGAGGGAGAGAGAGAGAATCCCAAGCAGGCTCCATGCTCAGTGCAGAGCCCAACCCAGGGCTCAATCCCATGACCCTGGAATCAGAACCTGAGTCAATCAAGAGTCGGGTGCTCAACCGACTGAGCCACCCAGGCACCCCCTCCTTTTCCTTTCTGATTGAGAGCCCTGTGAGTTTATAATCCCATGCTGCTTATGGCCACTATGCCTACTACATGGGAAAAGCAAGTAGCCAGTGGGGAAAATGCTATCAGTAGACAGAAAGAAACTGGGACTAGAGACAAAGGGAGAGTGGGAGAGCTGGAAAGAATATCTGAATCCTTTATCTAGCAATATTGCTGCCTTTTCATCAGTTTTGTTACATAAGCCAGTAGTTTATTTTTTTTAATAGAATTAATCCAAGTTGGGTCTCTATCACTGTAAACAAAACCACTCTAAGGCACCAAAGTAGTTATTCTTATTTCTCCAGTGCCTGGGTTTTAAAAGACAGAATGATAGCTCATTACTTTTTTGTTATAAGAAAATGTCTAAAAATGAGATTTCACACATGTAAGTTTTTAAATTTTATGTATGTCTTTAAAGTCCTATAGATTGCTCCCAGAATTAACCACCAATTTAAAATCCTTTTTTAACATGCTGTATGCTATTGTTACAATACTGGAGTTGTTATAACTTCAAGAGTACCTATTTTTCTTATCCATTCAATTGGTATGTCTTAAGCCAGCTTTTCACATTGTATTTATCATAAAATGATAATCTTATGTTAAATATGTCTCATAAAATATGATTTTATTCTTTTAGGAAAACTATTCTAAGAGTAGACCAACAAAAAAGAAAATCCCAAGGGATTATGCAGAATGGGATAAGTATGTTTTATATTTCTTTATGCAAAATTTGTCATTGAAGAATTCTCCACCATAGAATATTGTAGTAATTTCTTAATTATCTATAAATTTGAACTACCAAGTTACTTTGGTAGAGTAATTAGAGTATCTAGTCTAAGCAATTTTGATCTTTATTTTTCATTAAATAAATATCAATAGCATCCTTTTGTTTAAAAAAGCAATGAAAAATAGGTAATTCTATGCCCATTGAAAAGAAAAAAGAACAAAAATTTTAAATAGAGATAAATTAATCATAATTTTAATTACAAAGTTCTGAACAGTTTAAGTCTGATTTCCATGTAAATCCTCACTGAATTGCATGGTTTCTAAGAGCGAAACAGATGACTTGTAGTATAAGTGTATTATGCATTTTCAGAATATGTCTTTAAAGGCACAGTGGTACAAATATAAGAATATCAATAATACATTTTATTATACTGTACATTTTTCAGTTTTTTTTCTTTCATTTAAGATTTGACGTGGAAAAAGAATGTTCAAAAATTGATGAAGATTACAAAGAAAAAGTTGTAGTAAACAACAAGTCACATTTGTCTAAAATTGAGACAAGAATAGACACAGCAGGTAATTGGAGAAAAATAAGAATAGTTTAGTAGTTTTTACAGTTTACCTTTAAAAAATTATAATAAAAGCTATTAAGCTAGAAGACCTTCTCTTTAAGCCCTACAGATTTCTATTAAAAGATTATGGATTTGGGGCTCCTGGGTGGCTCATTCGGTTCAGTGTCCGACTTCAGCCCAGGTCATGATCTCACAGTTGATGAGTTTGAGCCCCGTGTTGGGCTCTGTGCTGACAGCTCAGTCTCTGGAGCCTGCTTCAGTTTCTGTGTCTCCCTCTCTCTCTGCCCCTCCCCCACTTGCAGTCTGTCTTTCTCTCTCAGAAATAAATAAACATTAAAATATTTTTTAATTTATGGATTTTTCTCCTAGAGTTGACCACCTCTAACAAATTCAGCTCCATCCTTTACTTAATTTTATATGAGTAATAGTTACATTACTTAAGTTTAGTAAGACTCAAAAAGGTAAGTATAAACCTATGTTTTTTCTGTAATTTGTTTTTCATTTTTTTCAAGTCCTTTTTTTCTCTAGATATCTCAATCTTTTTCCTTTTGCCTCAAAATAAAAAGATAAAGCAGTTTGTTTTCATTTGAAGTCCATATGTGTATAACTCCTTTAAAGTGAAATAAAACTAATAATAGGAAAAATCTAAACACTCAAAAGTTGTGATGACTTAAAGGAACATTTCCTAACTTAAGAAACATAATTTATTTCCTTTTATTCACTTCACAGTTTACTGCTTCTGTTAAAATAAGCATTCTTGGGTTTAAATTTTTTAAAAATTCTTTTCAATTATATATTTTTTTATTTAGAGCAGATAACATTTATTTCTAGGTCTAACTGAGAAGGAAAAGACTTTCCTTGCTACTCGTGAAAAGGAAAAAGGAAATGAAGCTTTCAACTCAGGAGATTACGAGGAGGCTGTGATGTATTATACTAGGTGAGCAGATTTTTTCTGTGATTTATCTTGCCCCCCCCCTTTTTTTTAAAGTAGGCTCCGTGCCCAACATGGGGCTTCAACTCATGACCCTGAGATCAAGAGTCACATGCTCTACCAATTGACCCAGCCAGGAGCCCTTTGTTGTGGTTTAAACTTCTCATTTTAAAAAATAATGTTTATTTAGTTGTTGAAATGATATAACTAAAAAGTCTTCCAGAATCATTTAAGATATTATACTTATGACTTATCATAAATTCACTTGTGTTTGCTTTGTTTTTTAAATACTTTTTCTCAATCCCTTAAGCTCCCCACCCACCCCCAGTTTTGACAGAGGTCCTAACCTTCCTAATTTACAGAGAAAATAGAAAACATCTGAATGGAACTTGACAGAAAGTCCATATAGCATAGAGTTAAGAACTCAGGTTCTGTAGTCATACTGCCTAGATCTAATCATGGTACTTATGATGCTACCTCCCACCACAGGGCTTTTGCATACACTGGGTCCCCTGTGTAGAATGTTCTTTACTTTTCTCGTTATCTAGTTACTTCTAACTTAACTTCAGATCTTATCCAATGCTTTACTTCTTTAGGGGAAGTCTTCCTTTACCTCCCAGACAAGGTTAAATCTTCACCCTATTCCACTCCTCCACACCATTGACCCCCAATTTATAGGCTCTTACAGCAGTCTTGGCTCTCCTTTGTGGTACTTGTTGGGAGTATAATTTAAGTTTGTGTGATTTGATAGTAAGTGGACTGTAAGCTCTGTCAAAACATAGTGTCCTTGTCAGTTTTTTTTAAATATCTTTTATCCCCAGTGTCCAGTGAAGTACCTGGTTCATAATAGATGTTCAACAAATACTTATATGAACTTTTGAGGCTCTTACAGTCAATGAAAAGTAGATTAATTTCCTAAAACATTGTTATAACCTACTGGTGCATATAGAATCCCTTACACCATCTTAGAAACAAACTCTCTACAATCTTTTTTCCACCTTTGGAAGGAAGATTTTCTTTTTCAATGTTGAGTCTCTAAAGCATTTTATCTCCATTGTTTAGGTGAACATAAAAGGTAAAGAGACTATTGATGTATCTTTTACTCAGTATAGTCTACCCCTTTCAGGTAGATGGACATCAATACTGATGTTGTTCTCTCTCTTCTTGTAGATTTCCACCAGTGGAGTATCTTATTCTGTTACAGGGAACAAAATTTTTCTTGTCTTCTTTTAAGAAATCATAGAGGGAGGGGCACCTGGGTGGCTCAGTCAGTTAAGCGTCTGACCTCAGCTCAGGTCATGATCTCATGGCCCGTGAGTTCAAGCCCTGCATTGGGCCTTGTGCCAACAGCTCAGAGCCTGGAGCCTGCTTCAGATTCTGTGTCTCCCTCGCTCTCTGCCCCTCCCCTGCTTGTATTCTGTCTCTCTCTCAAAAATAAATAAACATTAAGAAAATAAAATCATAGAGGGAAAAAGTAAAGCAGCATAGCATAATGGTGAAAGGAACTCAAGCTGCCACTTTCTGACATTGGGCAGATTTCTCACCTCCCTTGCCTCAGTTTTCTCAATGTGAAAGGCTGGTGTAGTGCCTACTTTGGAGCAACCGTGAGGATTAAATCAACATACTGAAAGACAGGATAACATGTGGTAACAATAGCAGGTGCTGGAGTAGAGTGGGTTTACGTCTTGATTCTCATTTACTAACTTGTGGCCTTAAGCATGTTACTTAGCCTCTCTGTTACATCATTTTTTTAATCTGTAAAATAGGAAGAGCAGTAATACATCTTTCAGGGATTGTAGTGAGAATTAAATGAGCTTAGTGTTTAGTGCCTGGCACGTGGGAAGTACTCAGTGTCAGGTACTTGTATTAGTTATTCTTGTGTTTTCTATATTTGGTCTCTACCTAATCATGTCATTTCTTTATATTCATATTTAATGATCTCAGTACATTTCTACTTTTTATGGCTCTTCCGTTTTCATCTTCTATTCTTCTTCTGGATTTAGAAAATTCACCGCACCGATACCCTTATCTTTCCTATACTTTGGAATACATTATTTCACAGCATTCCAAATCAACTTTTAAGCAACATCCAAGTAGGTTTTAAGTTTCTTTTTTCATTAGTTATTTTGCATTCATACTCTTAACATAGCAAAATGTACTCTTAAAGTCTGTATTCCTCAATTACTACTACTCTTCTGTTTTCTTCAGTTAAACTTCTCTGATCAAATTATGATCATTTCCTTAGAGTTAAATCTTTTAGATTACAAGCTAAACTCTTGTTTTTAGATTATAAACTAAACTCACCATGACAACTTAATAAGGGATATTAGTTGTGATTGATTGCTCCAATTTTTCTGTAGTAAGAAATTTTCTCAAGGGGTCAAAATATGTATTTGATATTTGATGTTAATTAAACTGTTTTTTTTAAGGAGATCTATGGGCGTTTATGTTACCATGTCACTTGTAAAACCAGAGCCAACCTTAAACTGCTTAACTGGATATTTAGGCATCTGTGTAAGTAGTGACTTGGTATGTTTACAGAGCTATATTTTGTTTGTTTGCTGGGGCTGCCATAACAAAGTACCATAGGCTGAGGTGCTCAAACAACAGAAATTTATTTTCTCACCATCCTGGAGGCTACAAATCTGATCCAAGTGTCAGGAGGGCTGGTGTCTTCTGAGGCCCCTGTTCTTGGCTTGTAGGCGACTGTCCTCTCTCTGTGTCTTCAAATGGTCTTTCCTTAGCATGCGTCTGTGCTCTCATCTCTTCTTATAAAGACACCAGTCATACTGGATGAGGCTGCACCCTCATGACCTCGTTTTGACTTCATCATCTCCATAAAGACAATTCCAAATATAGTTATATTCTGAGCTACTGGGGATGAGCACTTCAGCCCGAGTTTTGGGGACACAATTCCACCCATAACATGGGCTATGATGGTTTTTGTTTACAATGCTATCTGAGTTTCTCTGTCTTCTTATGTTTTCCTCTGGTCACCTTGTTGCCAATAAGCGTCTCTCTTGTAGGAGTATATCAGTGCTTCCCACCGTAGCGGCCTATAACAACCGGGCTCAAGCAGAACTCAAGCTACAGAACTGGAACAGTGCTTTTCAGGATTGTGAAAAGGTGTTGGAGTTAGAACCTGGAAACTTAAAGGGTAAGAAATATTCACAGAATGCTTTAAATCTACATCAGGATTTGTTAGACCATTTGTACACACTGAGATTCTACTAAGAATATTTCAAATACACTCTAGTTTTGATATGTCAATCATCACCTTCATAAAGTTACTTTTAACTTCAAGTTTAACTTAGAATTTAAATTCCTGGTTATTTGTACTGAAGTAGTTAATAATGCCAGGAGTGTGAGTGGGGGAGGGGCAGAGAGCAAGGAAGACAGAATCTGAAGCAGGCTCCAAGCTCTGAGCTAGCTGTCAGCACAGAGCCCGACATGGGGTTCAGACTCACAAACCATGAGATCATGACCTGAGCCGAAGTGGGACACTTAAGTAACAGAGCCACCAGGTGCCCCTATCTTTTTTTTTTATATATTTTTTTAATGTTTATTTGTTCTGAGAGAGAGAGAGAGAGAGAGAAAGAGAGAGAATGAGCCGGGGAGGGGCAGAGAGAGGGGTGGGCAGAGGATCTGAAGTGGGTTCTGTTGACAGTAGAGAGCCCAGTGTGGGGCTCAAACTCACAAACCATGAGACCATGACTGAACAGAAGTTGGATGCTTAACCTACTGAGCTACCCAAGTGTCCCAGTATTTATCTTCTTGTTACTGGCTTATTGAACTATCTTTTTATCCAAAAAATATCTAAGTATAATTTAATACAGATTTTCTAACAATAATATAATAAGCCCACACCAGAGCTCTAGAACCTTCTACCAGTGGCTTTGTGGGCATTTCCACCTATATGACCATAGTGTCCAAACCAACACCAGCACTCTGTTCTGATTTCCTGTCTCTGTGACTGCACAACCTTGCCATGGTCTAAGCCCAGAGTATACAAGTCAGACTTTTGTTTTCTGTTATCAAGAAGCAATCACTCCATAAGGGAGTAGCATAATTTATAATAGACTCTTTCTATTTCTTTAAAAAACACTTTTTTATTGTTTATTTTAATTTTTGAGAGAGAGACAGACAGACAGAGCATAGGCAGGGGAGGGGTCGAGAGAGAGACACACACACACAGAATCTGAAGCAGGCTCCAGGCTCTGAACTGTCAGCACAGAGCCCAATGCAGGTGTCGAGCTCATGAACCACAAGATCATGACCTGAGCTGAAGTCAGATGCTTAACTGACTGAACCACCCAGGTGCCTGGACTCTTTCTACTTTTTTAAATGTTTATGGATTTGAGTAAATATAAAAACTTAAGTTTTTTCACATGGAATGTAACCTTTTGTGCCTGTGAACATGGGCATGCAGAAAGCATGGGCATGCTGAGGGGAGATCCTGGATCCTGAGAGATCAGCCCTGACTGGTATTGCCATGGATTGCCCTCCTTTCACCGGTAAAGTCCTCTTGTGTCTGTGGTATGTCTCTGTCACAGAGTTGGGTGGGCTTCCTATATTAGGAGATGGTAGAAAATATTTTGCGGTCCCTGATGATCCCGCACTAACACACACCATGCCAGGCCCTATGCCAAGCATTTGAAATATTATTATCTCCCCTAATTTCACAGCTCAGTAGAGGTGCAGATACAATTATTAGCATACTCATTTTACAAAAGAGGAAACTGAAGCATAGAAAGATTAAGCAACTCACCCACGATCAGACAGCTAGCAAATGGCAGAGATAGGACTCAGCACTGGACGATGGACACCAGAGTCCACATTCAACCACTGTGCTAATCTTCTGCCACCAGAATGGCTTTACGTTTTCATCTTCCTTGTTTGAGTAATTTCAAGAGGACCAGAATTTTCACTATTTAAAAAACAAATTAGAGCCAAATCTAGTAATGAATATGGCTATAAAACAATAAGAAGTCTTATGTTTGCTTAAGTGAATAAGTAACTTCCTCTTCAAAACTTTATTTTTTAATCAAAATATAATTGTTCTAAATGCAGTGTGGTGTTTGGATTCATCCTTCAACAGAAAAAGGCATTGGTAGAAAAGTTGGTGAAATCTAAATAAAACCTGTAGTTTAGTTAGTAGTATTATACCAATGTTGATTTCTAGTTTTGTTAAATACTCCATAGTTATGTAAGATGTTAGCATGAGGGAAAGCTGGCAGAAAGTATATGAAAGCTCTTCATATTATCTTTGCAACTTTTCCATAAATCTAAAATTATGTCGAAAATAAAAAATTAAAAAAAATAATAATTGTTATATTTCTTTGTAGACATTCTCTTCTGAGTAGTCATAGTACTTTAAGTATAGTGCAACAATTTTGATTAAATTTATGAGAAAATGATTTATGCTTTAAATTTTCATGGCTCATTCTTTTTTTTTTCAAATAATTTATTGTCAGGTTAGCTAACATGCAGTGTATACAGTGTGCTCTTTTGGCTTCGGGAATAGATTCCCGTGATTCATCGCTTCCATACAACACCTAGTGCTCATCCCAACAAGTGCCCTCCTCAGTGCCCATCACCCATTTCCCCTCTTCCCTGCCACCCTCATCAACCCTCAGTTTGTTCTCTGTGTTTAAGAGTCTCTTATGGTTTGATTCATGGCTCATTCTAAGACTAGAAGCAAATTGGTCAAATTTGTGTTTTAAAATAGCATATTAAGATATATCAGATACAAAATTCTCACTTTTCAAAATTTCCAAGTGTAATTCTTTTCAAAATAATGACTTGCTATACAAAGTTCCATTTGCCATTATACATGGATAATCATGGGGCTATAAAGGCATTCATTTAAATAATTATCAAATTAGGGACGCCTGGGTGGCTCAGTTGGTTAAGCGGCCAACGGTCAGCTCAGGTTATGATCTCATGGTTTGTGAGTTCAAGCCCCACATCAGGCTCTGTGCTGACAGCTAAGAGCTGGGAGCCTGCTTCATATCCTGTGTCTCCCTCTCCCTCTGCCCCTCCTCTTCTTGCACTCTTTCTCTTGAAAACAAATAAACATTAAAAAAAAAAAAAAGAAAAATATGTTCTAACCATGCTACTGTACATTAAAAAATATAACATTTTCTTGGTAAATTTTCAGCTCTTCTGCGCCGTGCCACTACATATAAACATCAAAACAAGCTCCAGGAAGCTATAGAAGATTTGAATAAAGTACTGAATGTTGAACCTGATAATGAGTTGGCCAAAGTAAGTTCAAAATGTGATTCCTTACCTAATTCTATTATGTCTGTATTTATATTACTGGATGAACGATGTTGAGAATTAGGTCACAGCTTTAAAAACTAGGTATGTCCCCAACACTCTAAAGTGTTAATATCTATTTGAAGTGGAAGATAGCAGGCTCTTAAATTGTCCAAAACTATAAGCCTACTTCTGAAGGATGAATATGTATTAATTGAGTTAGATATGTAACATTGTATAAGGTATACACGTATTGCTTAGGTACATTTAGGTATTACAATATGATCACCACTTAGCTGTAGCTAAGACCTCTCTCTCATCACATAATTATTTCTTTATTGTGGTAAGAACAATTAAGATCTAGTCTCTTAGCAGCTTTGAGGTTTAGGATACAGTATTGCTGACTCTAATCTCTACACTATGCATTAGCATTCCAGGACTTATTTGTCTACTAATTGCAAATTTGTACCCTTAAACAACATCTCCCCACTGTCCTTACCCCACCAACCCCTAGTCATCACCATTTTACTTTTTATTTTTATCAGTTTGGCTTTTGTAGATTTCACATAAGTGATACCATACAATGGGAGATATTTAGTTTTTCTCTTTCCTGCAATGTGGTAGGCAATGCTTTTCTCTGAGCCAATCTCAATTTATCACGCAGAGTGGTATGGAAGTTTCCTAGGCAGGATTAGGCACGCGCTCCATAGCCATAGAAGAGTGCATGGTAAGCATAGCACCACTGACCGCGTTTGCTGCCTGACTAAGCAGACCAATTCAGATATGCACTCTGGGGTCTGTTTTGAGGCCTAAAGTGTAGAGGTAAGTGTTGAGAACAGTGAGGGGTCTGAGATTTTACCCTTCTTGCAAATTAACAAGGGAGCCTAGCAGAAGACGCAATACTTCTGGGTCAGACACAAAGGACTGTGTTATTCACATTGCAGCAAACTGATGAGCTTTAAGTTCATGTCAGTTGCCCTGGCCCCCAGGTGCCAAAGGGTGGTGCAGAGTGGCCCAGATAGATGCTGTGCACGCAGTGGATTTGTATCACAGCCAAGGAATCCCAAATTTAGGAAACCCCTGTCTTTTATAGTGAAATACAAGCAAACCTGTCCAAAATTCTGTTCCAGAGGGAAACATTATACTGGAAAGCAAACATACCTGCTCTCTTTTCTGAAGAGAAATACTCTGTTTTCCAAGGATGTTTTCAGTACAAACATCCTTAAAAAGATAGTCCAGAACAAATGTTATTTAGTGCCTCTGCTCACAACAGATTTAGAAATATGAGAAAGCCACGGAAAACAGTCTTCCGGCAGTAAGTTGTCACTGTTTGCACACTGTCTCACTCTCTCTCAGTAGCAGTTATTGTCCCTAGTGTATTTGTCAAGTCAGCATTTCAGTGGGTTAGATTTAGGGCCTAGCTGAAAAAAATACATCTTTTTCCCATAGTATTTCCATTTTATAGTGGTAAATTTATTGAAAAGTTAATAGGACAATATTCTCAAAAAATTTTTTTCTTATTTATTTTGAGAGAGAGAGGGTGCACACGAGTGGGAGAGGCAGAAAGAGGGGAAGAGACTATATCAAGCAGCTCCATACTGTCAGCACATAGCCCAACACAGGCTTCACTCCCATGAACTGTGAGATCATGACCTGAGCTGAAATCCAGAGTCAGGAACTCAACTGAGCCACCCAGATGCCACTCTCTAAAAAAATATTTAAACAAGGAGACTACCTTTGATGTCACTACCCAATATAATTTTATGTTTACATGTTAACTTTCAGGACTTAACCATTTATATCTTAACCATATGAAAAGATTAACTCAAAATGGATCATATACCTCCATATAAAACCTAGAGTATAAGAGTTCTAGAAGGAAACATAGGACGAAATCTTTATGACCTTGGATTAGACAAATAATCCTTAGATTTGACGTAATGGCACAATTCATAAAAGAAAAAGTTGGTAAATTGGACTTCATCAAAATTTAAAACTTTTGCTCTTTGAAAGACATCATCAGAAGAAAAAACTGCAAACTGAGGGAAAAAAATATTTTCAAATTATATATCCAACAAAGCCCTTGCATCAAGAATGTTACACATGGTCCCCAACATATAATGTTTTGACTTACAATTATTCGACCTCATAATGGTGCAAAAGTGATATGTATTCAGTCCAAACTGTACTTTGGGTTTTGAATTTTGATTTTTTTCCGGGCTGGCGATATGCTGGGCAGGGGCAGTGAGCTCCAGCCCCTAGCCAGCCATGCAATCATGTAGGGAAACCGAGACCCAGCCATTCTGTGCCCATCCAACCGCTGCGTTTCTCACTTTCAGTATTCAGTAAATTACCTGAGTTATTCATCACTTTATTATACAATGGGCTTTGTGCTGGAGGATTTTGCTGAACCAGAGGCTAATATCAGTGTTCTGAGCACATGTAAGGTGGGCTGGACTAAGCTATGATGTTTGGTAGGTTAGGTGTATTAAATGCATTTTCAGTGTATAGTGGACTTATCAGGACATAACCCCATTGTAAGTTGAAGTAGAAATGTAAAGAACTCTCAAAACTCAATAACAAGAAAGCAAACAAGCAAATAAAAAATAGAGGCTCTTCACCGGAAGAGGTATGTGAATGGAAAATAAGCATACGAAAAGATGCTTAAGATCATTAGTCACTAGGGAAATGTAAATTCAAATCACTGCCAACTTGTCAGAATAGCTAAAATTGAAAAGATTGACCATATCAAGTGTTGGCAGAGATGTGGAGGAACTGAAACAATTAGGGATAGAAAATGATACCACCACTTTGGAAGGCAGGTTGGCAGCTTCTTAAAAAGTTAAACCTAGATGACAGTGAAGGAGGCTGAGAGAGAGGTCCCAAAGGTGCAGTGACCAGAGAATTAAGAAGTAGGGGCTAAGACTCTCCAGGAGCTGGAAGCATCTGTCTCCCTGCTTAAGACTCTTTCATTTTGCTATTTGTCTGATAGCAGCGAGCACATACAACATAGTATTTGGCATCTTGACAGGTCATGCACCTGCAGTGTATTCCTTACTGAGTCATGAGTACTTCTGGCACCAGACAAAACATTCTTATCCCTGGCCTGGGACCCATATGACGTCCTTCTGGAGAGAATGAGCAGTCCCAGTGGCTTTCCATTTCCTGGGAATGGAACTGCTTTCAGTTCCTTGCTGTTCCGTCCCTTTCCTTCAGGACATTCTTACGGTGCCTCTGGCTTCTTGTTCTCCAATAGAGGCAGTGGCCATGGGGGCCTCAAGTTTGCCCCTGTAGCAAGTGGCCCCCATGGTGGGGCTGGAAATTGATAGCAACATTGTCTGTTACCGACAGGACTGAAAGAAATGCAGAATGATCTCTTTAATAAAGAGGAAAACAGGCAGTTATCATTAACTCCTCGAACTGAGAAGATTGAAGTTAAACACGATGAGAAAACTGACCCTGGCACTATCTTTTTGACGAATAAACACATTTCAACTCCTTATAGTTTTGCCATCCATTTAAGTGAGTGGTCCTGCAGGAAGTCAATTCTGGCTTTTGTGGATGGACACACTGGGGACATGTTTAAGCTTTGACCACATTCCAGGAAATGGAATTTCTTACTTTCAAAGATCATGGTCCAGGAGAAGTGAATAAGGCTTATTGGCATTCCTGTGCCATGATGGATGATGGGCTGTGTGATAGAGAGGGCCTTCAAAGATGAATCTGTACTCAGTTTGGTCAGAGCTCCAGGAGTCTCTGTAATCTCTGGAGCCTTCTGCTATGAATAGTTCTGGATAAGCAACTTGATAAGTGGATGCCAACAAAAGAGAACCTGTGTTCCTTCACAAAAGATGCTCATGTTTTAATTTATAAACATCTTCCATTTGAAACTCTGGAAGTGGAAGCAAACATGACATTAGAAATATTTCAACACAAGTAAAAAATGTATTTCATAGATGAGAAGTCATCTCAGAACCCTGAGAGAATAGTCAAGCTACACAGATTTGGTCACTTCATCAATGTGAGTGAGGGTCCTTTTAGTCCAAGAACAAGTATTTGTTTCCATTAGAAAGTGTCAGCAGTTCACGATCTTCAAACCACCCAGTTAAGTCTTGTACGAAGAATCCAGGGTCTGTCTGTACCTATACATTTAAGAGCACAGGTTACGATATGGGATAAGCTATTGGAAAGATCTTGGAAAATTCCAGCTGAAGATCAAACTAAGCCTACAAAGGAAAATGTACTGACCTAATAACTTTTTAAAAAAATTTTTTTAATGTTTTATTTATTTCTTGGAGAGAGAGAGAGACAGACAGCGTGAGCAGGGGAGGGTCCGAGAGAGAGAGGGAGTCACAGACTGAAACAGGCTCCAGGCTCTGAGCTGGCAGTCAGCACAGAGCCCGACGCGGGGCTTGAACCCATGAACCGCGAGATCATGACCTAAGTGAAAGTCGGACGCTTAACCGACTAAGCCACCCAAGCGCCCCTGACCTAATAACTTCTGAGAATTTAAATATGTATGGTAAATTAAACTAAATTTTTTTCCAGGGAAAAAAATAAAATCGTACGCCTGTCATATGATCTAACCATTCTGCTCCTATGTATTTACCCAAGAAAAATGCAAGCATATGTCAATACAAAGATTCATGTACAAATGTTCATAATGGCTTTGTTATTGCCAAAAATTAATAACAGCCTAAATGTCTTTAGGTAGGTGAATGGATAAATTGTTATATCAACACCATAGAATACTACTTACAATAGAAAGGAATGAACTGAGAGAGATATACAAACGTAGATGAATGTCAAAATAATTATGCTGAGTAAAAAACAAAGTACATATAGTATGATTCCATTTATATAAAATCCTAGAAAATGTAAACTAACCTATCATAACAAAAAGAACAGCTGATGTAGGGGAGGACCAAAAAGGACATAGTTCAAAGTAACAGGAAGAAACTTTGGGGAATGATGGGTATATTTATTATGCCAAAAGCTATCAACATGTGCATTTTAAGTATACGAGTTTGTCAGCTATACAACTCTGTAAGCTGTTAAAAATGGCGGGGGGAGAAAATATTTTGATATATATGTATTTTTCATTCTAATTGGCATAAAATGTAGAACTTTCAACATGACTTTACAAAAAAGAACATGCCATACGATTTTATTTGTATAAAACTGTATCTCTCTGTGTATACATATATGTAAAAACATTTCTAGGAATGTCTGGATATCAGTTTTATCAGAGTGGTAGGATTTCAGGTGCTTTCTTTCTTTTTCATGCTCATTATGCTTCAAGTTTTTAACTACGGACATGTATGATTATAATCAAACCAATGAAGTTTGAAAAAGGAAAAAATGGTCACCATAAAAAGCGTTATCTTAGATATCTTTATTCACTTTTTAATGACTTCATATTCCTATGCGACAGGATGGTTATGTTTTTAATTAAAGGAAAACATTTTCTTTAACATGGTGGTTATGTTGCAGAAGACCTTGTTGGATGTTGAGAGAGACCTGAAAAATTCTAAACCTGCATCTAAGACTCAAACCAAAGGGAAGAGAATGGTAATCCAGGAAGTAGAAAACTCAGAGGATGAAGGTGGGAAGGACAGCGGAAGAAAACATGAACATGGCAGCGGAGATAAGAGTAAAACATCTTTTCTCTTTTGGTTATGCAAAAACCTCCCTTTCTATATGACGAGCTGGCTCACATGTTCTCTTTCTACTGAAATTCTTAGTCTGCCAAACTCTTTTTAGCTTTACCCTGTAAATTCACAACCAAGTTTTTTCTTAATGTTTTTACTAATACAATCTTCCAAACCCAATTTTCTTCCTAACCTGGTACCCTTCTCTAGTGTCCAATTCCTGATTATCATGGTATATTGATAATATCAATAACATTATCATATTATCCATGTACCAGACATTCACAAGTTAACCTTAACCTTTTTCCTAGATGATTGTTTTGTATATATGTACTTTGTTGTAAACAAAACATGTTGCCCTTACAGGGATATAGGACAAAGATGAATGCATTGTTGGGAAATTGCTACATGTGCCTCTCAAAAAATTTTTTAAATAGGCATAATTTCACCTCTGATATAGGTTTTTTAAAGAATCTAGACTAGTTAAACCTTTATCTTCATAATATAAAATAATGACAGTTACATCAGCTTTAAGGGGAAAGATCCACCTACTCACTTGTGGGGTGGGGGAGAGGGGGTGTCTCTCCCTCTTTCTGAGAGTAGCCCCCGACCCCCCCACCCCAGCAAACAAAGAAAGGGAAAGTAACAGTTTTCAAAATCATTCATGGGCAAAAATCAACTTGCAAGTGACTGACAGAATATTTTAATTTTGAAAGAGAAATATAAAATGTTCAGTTCATTCAACTTAAAAATGTAAAGAAGTAAACATTTTTATTTTTTCAGTGACAGAAGTATAACGTAAAATATACAGCTCAAGACAAAATGTGATCAGTGAAGACAGGGTAAAGACAAAGGGACAGAAAGGGAGATGGGAAAGGAAGAGAGGGCATCAAAAGGATAAAAAGAAAGGGGTGGGGGAGAAATTAAACAGTTTTTCAAGGACTGTGACTTACCTTTGAGCCAGACGTTAAATAAATTCTGGCAGCAAATTTTGCTCTACAGGTTCATATTTATCTTAAGGTGTCAAGCCAAGTGTCTTAGGAGATCATTTAAAATCTTACATGGGGGGCGCCTAGGTGGCTCAGTTGGTTAAGTGCTCAACTCTTGATTTCAGCTCAGGTTATGATCTCATGGTTTGTGGGTTCGAGTCCCGTGTGGGGCTCTGCCCTGGTGTTATGGTGCCTGCTTGGCATTCTCTCTCTCCCTTTCTTTCTGCCCCTCACCTCTTGTGCTCACTCACACTGTCTTTCTCAAAAATAAATAAATATTAAAATCTTTTAAAAAATTTACATATAGTGAAAATGGAGTTCTTTGGTATGCAGTTCTAACATGTATATAATTTCATGTGACAGCCACCACCATCAGGATACGGAACAATTCCATCACACCAAAGACTCCTTGCTCTCCTTTTAGCCAGGAACCAGTGATCTGTCATAATTTCTTCAAAGATTTTTTTTGGAGGGACGATACTACTTCTCCTTTCCCACAGGACTGTTATGCCACAATTGTTAGACAACTTAGTATTGTCCCACAAGTCCTTGAGGCTTTCTTCTTTTTTTCCTCACTCTGTTATTAAGATTGAAAAGTTTCTATTGATCTATATTCAAGTTCACTGATTTTTTAATTCTCTGATCCCAAATCTACTGTTGCTCCCATTCAGCGAGTTTCAAATTTTGGTTATTGTGTCTTCCCATTCTAAAATTTACATTTTTTTTACGTCTCTTCCATTTCCCTGCAAAGTTTTTAAAGATTTCTGTCCCTTTCAGGAGTGTTTGGCTTTATTTCTTGGAGGATGGTTATAATAGTCACTAAAAGTCTTGAGAATTAACACCTCTGTTTTCTAGGGTTTGGCATTACTTAATTGTCTTTTCCCCTTGCCAAATGTTGATATTTTCTCTCTTCCTCGTTTGTTAAGTAATTTTGTACTGTATACTAGCAGTTTTAAGTTTTATGACATGTGATTTTATCTTGTTTACATCTTATGGAGAATTTTTTTTAAAGCAGTTAATCTGGTTAGGTTAGGGTAACAGTTTTCCTACTCGACTTCTGTGGAATATGGTTCTTTTTTTTTTTTTTAAGTTTATTTATTTATTTATTTTTTAACATTTATTCATTTTTGAGAGACAGAGACAGATCATGACTGGGGGAGGAGTAGCGAGCAAGAGAGGGAGACACAGAATCTGAAGCAGGCTTCAGGCTCTGAGCTGCCAGCACAGAGCCCAACGTGGGGCTCGAACTCATGGACCATGAGATCATGACCTGAGCCGAAGTCAGATGCTTGATCGACTGAGCCACCCAGGCACCCCTAAAGTTTATTTATTTATTTTGAGAGAGACAGAGATAGCACCAGTGGGGGAGGGGCAGAGAGAGAACGGGAGAGAGAGAATCCCAAGCAGGCTCTGTCTTGCCCATGCAGAGCCTAATGTGGGGCTTGAACTCACAAAACTGTGAGATCATGACCTGAGTGAAAAGCAAGAGTCGGACGCTTAACCAACTGATCCACCCAGGAGCCCCTGTGGAATATGGTTCTAATGTCAGTTCAGTTTCAAGACCTTTGCAATGCTATTTAGATCTGTCCCACCTATACACAACTCTGTGACCAGCCGGGGTCTGGACAGTGGTCTTCCCCTGTGATTCACATCTCAAAATTTTCAGAATGATGTTTAGGATCACTTTATGCATATAGATCATCTGGAGGGTGAGCCCAGTTCATATACAATTTTATGCAGTTGTTTTCTTGAGTTCCTTCCTCTCTGTGATTCTTCTCTACTCTTTCTGGTTCTCAGAGGTTTTCCTTCCCGCTCCTCTCGCTAGAAAGCCAGACTTTTAATTTCCCCCATTCTCCTGCACACTGCCCATGACTGTGTGCCTCCAGGACTGAGCAGCGACAGGGCAGAGAACAAACGCAATGCGGAAGAATGCTTGGGACCAGAGACTGAGAGTTCCTCTCCTTCTGAGTTTTAGGTACCTCCTTGGCTGCTACTGCCTCTGCAGCTGTTGCAGGATTGCCTGGGGGCTAGGATTGGACAGAAAGAAAAAACAAAAATCCAGGCTTTTCTTCACCTCTCTCTCATAGGTTCCAGCTATCTTGTTGCTTTAGATAAACTAAATAGAAGGCTTCTTGGACCTCATCCTGCCCACACCCAGTGTGGTTTGGTGCAGGTTCTAGTTCCTTTTCCCAACTGGCCTGCTACTATTTACTTTGCAGTGTCCTCGTGGCCTGCTGCATCAATTCTGTTTCAGATTTTTAGTTATATTCAGTGGAAGAGATGGGTGGGGTGTGTTTATTCCATGTTGACAGGAACTGCCTTTCTCATTACCATTTTTTTAAAGATTAGCATATTTGAAGAACTATGAAAGTGCTTTAGATAGGTTATTTTTTAATTCTCAAGAAAGCTATAATGCACACTTTCATAGATTAGGCAATGGAAGCCTAGACAGTTCTAGTTATTTGCTACATATGCACTTGCTGTAAGTCACGTGGCTAGAATATGCCCTAATCCTGTGTGACTCCAAAGTCTATGTCATAAAAGTGGTTACTGGATGCCAACTAAGAAAGTATACGTTTCATAAAATCCAGTTGTAATTTGGGGTTTATCTCCCTTGTGCTCACTCTTTTTTTTTTTTTTATTTTTTATAGTTTATTTATTTTTGAGACAGAGACAGAGTAAAAGCAAGGGAGGGGCAGAGAGAGAGGGAGACATAGAATCCAAAACAGGCTCCAGGCTCTGAGCTATGTGCTCACTGACTTATCAGCGGCTGAACCTATGTTGAGGAACAAGTTAGTTAAAGACCAATGTGATCATTTTTGATTAAAAAGGAGCATAAGAACTGGAATAGACATTTTTCCAAAGAAGATATTCACATGGCCAGTGGATACAGGAAAAGGTGCTCAACATCAGTCATCAGGAAAATGCAAAAAAAAAAAAAAGTCACAATGAGATATCACTCAAATGTGTTTGAATTGCTGTCACCAGAGAGATGAGAAATAACAAGTGTGGGCAAGGATATGGAGGAAAGGGATCATCTGTGGACTGTTGGAGGGAATGTCAACCAGTGCAGCCATTATGAAAAACAGTATGGAGGGTCCTCAAAAGATTAAGAATAAAACTACCATATGGTCCAGTTATCCTATTTCTGGGTATATGTTCAAAAGAAATGAAGTACTATCTTAAAGAGGTATTTGCACCCTTCTGTTGATGTCAGCACTATTCCCAATAGCCAAGACATGGAAACAACCCAAGTGTCCTTCAGCAGATAAATGGATAAAGTAAATGCAAGACACACACTCACACACACTAGCATATTTTTAGGCCACAAAAAAAAAAATAAAAGGAAATGCTGCCATGTGCAAAAACATAGGTGGACCTTTAGGACATTATGCCAAGTGAAATAAGTCAGAGAAAAGCAAATACCGTATGATCTCATGTGTGGAATGTAAATAAAAGCCAAACTTGTAGAAACAGAGAATAGAACAGTGGATGCCAGGGGTGGGGGTTTGGGGGATAAGTTGGTTGGAGGACAAACTTCCAGTTGTAAGATGAGTATGTTTTGGGGATCTAATGTACAGCATGGTCACTACAGTGAAAAATGGAGTATTATATACTTGGAAGTTGCTAAAAGTGTAGATTTTAAATGTTCTCACTACAAAAAGTTATGTAAGGTGATGGATGTTTTAAGTTACTGTGGTAATCATTTTGCAATACACACATATACATATTTATATGTGTATATATGTGTGTATATATGTATATATACAAAATCATCACATTGTACACTTTAAACTTACACAATGTTATATCAATTATATCTCAATAAAGCTGGGGGAGGAGGAGATACTAAATGGCCCTCCTCACAAATAGACATAAACAGGGAAAGGCTAATCATTAAACAGTGAGTAATATTCTATGATTAGTAATCTGAGTCGGGGTTGTTATGTAATATTTAATAGATTGATAGGGTGTTTCTCTCTGAGTTAGGTGGTTATCCCTAACATTAGAGC